ATATGTACATTGCTCCTTTGGGTAATTGGTATAGAAGGTCAATATAGAGGGATATTAATATCACACGTGGGATATCATGTGCAATAATGTGAATTATTACATGACAACTTTTTGAATTATCAGATACTCCAAACTGCACATCACTTTTGTAAGTAAAAATAATGAGAGATATCGATTAATCCTCCAGTCTGTTACCGAAGCTTACAACAAACTCTGCTCTGTCATTTATCAGCAGAAAAAAAACTTTAAAAAATGCAAAAGATATTTATAAAAGTACAAAAATAAGATATAAATTTAACTACAGATCGTATTTATATGCAATTATAAAGATATAAACTTTAATGACAAAGATACAAGCCAGAAAAAAAATGGCGATTTTTCCAAAGAAAAGAAAGGTTAAATGTATAAAAATTAAGGTAATTATATTGTTTTTTGTTAAATTCTCTTTAAAATTGGGCGGAGTTTTATCGATTAAGACACTTTTTCTCCCGAATTAATGTTAAATTTTTGGGTGGAGCTGAGGGTATTTTAATGTTAAGATAGGTGATGCCATCAACTGATAAAGGCATAAATGCGTGTTGAGTATTAACGTTGGGCTGAGCACTAAATATAGGGTCGTAAATAGAATTAATTATTCAACATATTTCCAGTTTGTTCGGGTATATAAGCGACACGTAGTAATTATTAATGTTTAATTTTTAGTTAATTTAAATGGATGCTAAATCTGCATCGTCATTCCGACGCCTCGTCGCTTCGCCTACGCAACGGAACGTCGCCGCTGACGACTTCGTCTAGGTGACCAAATTCGTAGAAAATTTAAAAGATTTTAAGTTTTATTCGAAGCTAAAGAGGAGTGGAGAGAAGAAAAAAAAAAAAAAAGAGTATTCTCTTGATAAAAATCGATATTTAGGAGCATTGTTTAACAGATCCAACTTGTCGCGCGAGTGTAGGAGATTCGAAGAATGTCGAACAATCGAAAGGAGGAGATTTCTCGTCCCGTTTCTTGGAATTTTTACTAGGATCGATTCGAGTGAAACTTTCATTCACATCTGCTATTATATAACACAATTTCTCAGAAAGTGGTGCATCAGCGTATTTACCATTGGCTAAATCATCGCGCTTTCTAATAATTAATTTGAATGGCGCCTAAACACATTTTATGTGTCTACATTTAATATTAATGCAGAAAAGAGCATAGATTTTGTGTATATTCGTACGAAATCTACTCAAATTCTTGTGTAATTAAGTAAATTAAAATAGTATCGCTTTAAAAATGAGGAAGTCGCGTCGCATGGCGTGATTTTGTCACACGCGATTTTAATGTGTATGAAAAAGTTTAAATGACATCTACACGCATTTAACTGTCTAAATATGGCACAAGTATATAATTTAGTATAAATTTTGAACATATTCGTACAAAAAGCTGTTTAAATTCGTGTTTAATTGTTGCCTCGCGTCGCGTTGCGCGCCCGATTTTAAAGGTTTCTTCTACACGTGTGAGATATTTTGATAGTCATCCAATAAGCTTAACGTGTCTAAATATGTTATTTGTTTTAGAAAACAATATATTGTGTACATCATTACAAGTATTTATTTAAATTTAAAATAAATTAAAAATCGCGCCGCGCCGCGTTGCGTTGAGCACTCAAGAAAGGCATCTTCCTATATTTAAAGGTTTTTTTCTATACATGTTAGAAAGTCGTCGCTTCGTTTTCATATAAAATGTATAGGAAAATAAATGAAACGAAAATCGTATTATGCTTTTTTTATGTATACGACGTTGTGAAGGATCACGCGCGTTCGAGTGTAGAAACATCTGTCACAAAAGCCTTAGTGCGAGCATCAAAAGAATACTTTATAAATATAGCCTATATATACAGATGATAAAAAACAGTTTTATACAGATTATCAAAACAAAAGACTAAACGAATTGTAAGAATTTAATTATATTAGAATATATTCTTTTTAATAAACGATCAATACTTTACGTAACGCGTCACGTCGCATCGCGTCGCGCCAATAAGCGATGCTCATACAGTGTTGAAATATTTTATTAGTGCTTTTAAAAATACCTTTATATTGTTAATATATTAGTTTAAATACAGCAAATATATATGTATTTAAAGATATTTCATTTTTATTTGTTATTTTAAAAATGTTGCTACGTTTTACGCAGCGCGACGTCAGACGAAACGACGCGAAATGACACTTCTATATAGAGTATTTAATTAACAAAATAAATAACACAGTAAATTTTCTAAGCCCTCAACAGATATGAAGTATAGAAAATACAGATTCTGTATCAGAAATTCTGTCTGTACGTCACGCTCTATATTTTAAAAAAATTAAAAATAAAGTAAATAAATAAATGAGGCTAACGTTTACTTTCAAATATAGAAGCGAAATATCCGTAATTTATATTTTTATGTTTTTTGGGGCCGATCTAAAACAAAAGACAAGTATTTGATGAGGTACGCAACGCGATGCGCATCGCGCGAAACATTTAAGCTTCATGTGCGGTACATACTCAAGGCAGATAAGTTGCATTTTTAAAATAATAAAATAAAAAATTAATTTAATAAAATATGCAATAAAATATGCCCATATTTATTACACAACACCTTCGAACACTACGAAATCGCGACGCGACGTTACGCCGTCGCGTCGCGATTTCGTAGTATTCGAAGGTGTTGTGTAATAGTGTTCGCGACGGGACGCGATTTCGCGGCGCAATAACAAGCGAATCACTTTTACTATTTAAATCGAATAATCTAATTAGTTTGTACAAAAAAAATTGGAGCTAATTACACAAAATAAATGCAAGTTTCTCTCTTAGAACTAGTAAAAAACTCGAAAAAACTCCATAAAATTGCAACAGTTTTACGTGGAATTGGAAAACAATAACTCATTGGATCTAATCAAGTGGAAGTGCAAACGACAGCCAATTACAACGTCGATTACAAGTTCCAAGAATTTCTAAATGGAAAATGGGAATTAATGGATAAATTTGATTAGTATTTAAGTGGAAAAATGGTTTTAAAAAAGAAAATTAAAGATAAATACGAAGCCAATTCTCACTTCTCTAATTCTATTTTTCTTTAGATTTTTAAGGTTTTTCTGTCACAAAAATGGGAATTTTCTGCTACTTGATGGATTTATAAATGTTTTTTCTTTAATATGTTCATTGTTTTTTTTTTTTACTTATTTAAAAAATCTGGAAGTTGAGATGGAATTTCTTATGGCTTCCAGATGGACGTAATGGATACAAATTACTTTCGATGATGCATGAAAGATCCAAAATTGCTTGGCGAAAACTATTTTAAAAAGGTTAAAAATATAAATTATTTGTTGCAAAAGTTGTAAAAATTAAACACATTATTCGGTTAAATGTGCTAAAGTTCGATATTTTTTGCTATTTTTTTAAAGTTGGGAGCGATTACCGCGTGCTCGCTCGCGTCGCGTCGCGTTGCATTTGGTAAAGTGTGTTAAACAACTTAGTTTTTGTATTTTTATTACAGAAAAGTCAGTTTTTTTAGTATATTTTGTATTTTTTAAGTATTTAATTTCTTATTTGTAGTATTATTATTAGTCACATACGACGAAACGCGACGCGACGCGATGAAACCGCTGATTGTACGAACCATGCTGCGATAACTTGTGCTCACAATAGTATTTAATTATACTTTCCGCGTGTACTCTTGTTTCACGCATATTTTCCATCGTATCCACAAAAATATAGGCTATATAAAAAAAATAAGTGTTATAGTATGTATAAAAAGCCGTATAAGATGCCATTTAGGCAGAGATATTGGGCATCTGTGCCTAAATAGCCAATGCCCAATATCTCTAGAGATATTGGGCATCTTTGCCTAAAGAAAAACATATTGTGTATGTACACACAGGATAGAATTGATGCCAAAAAAACCAGTATATGTTCGAAGAATTTTGCATCGTGGCCGTTGTATAGATGGGTACCACATAGTGCGTTTTCTGAATTGCACGAAGTGCTCGTCGTGTTGCCAACCATTTTTAAGCAATGCCCCTACAATAGACTCTAATAGATCGATATATACAAGTTAATGTATAAAATATATGCATAAGAGTATGCTTTATAGTTGGCAACACTGAAAATGACCAGTCCGACTTGAAGGTCCTCTCGTACAACCCTATTTAGCAGTGACATAGTATAGTCTTCTCTGATCACACTAGGCGAATCTTAAGGTCCGTCCATTAATTACAATTTAACGGGAAGAGGGGGTTATGAAAAGTACACCATTATACGCACAGCCGTGTTGTGTGTAGCATTCCGGCACTGTCTTAACAGTTTGTTGTATACTGTACATACTTGCATTTGAACTTAATGAATACGTCGTAAAGATAAAAAAGTGCCTCAACAATTTGTCCACAGTGTACACATAGCCTAAGGGAATAAACAAGGTCGCGCGATAAGTATGTTAGAGAATGAAACACGTCACAGTAGAAGGTGGTTACGTCATTTTAATAACTCGGCTGTTCGCGGTAAGGCTTTAAAATTAATACAATTGCTGATGAATTGTTGTAAATCGACGTTCTGTAAAGTACAAGTACAGTTCATTTCTCTCGTCGCCTCCATTTTGTATTTCTTCTACACCGATTGCAACTGTCACCAGACTCGAAGTTTAACGTTCTTCCATATCCTTCAAACGCCTGAAGGAATTCAATGTTCACTGGAGCATAAACACAATTTTATTTAAATAAATAAATAAAGTAATAACAGTAAAAGAAAGTTTATTCGCATCTGCAAAATAAGCTTTCCTCTTAGAAATTTTATTCTAGAGATGCAAGAACTGATTAGTGTTTTTTCCATTGTTTAACCATCAAATTCATATATTTATATGCTTAAAAATGTCTGAAATACATTTTTTAACGTTGTTTTAATTATAAAAAAAACGGATAAATGTTGTGCAACGTTAAAAAATTCGATTTTTTAAAAGTTTCAACGTAATTAAAGATGGCGAAACATGATGGTAAGTGCTTATCTACTTCCTTATTTTAATATTTAAAAAAAAAATTTGTTACATAAAGGGCCTTATAACAGAATTGTGTTTAGGACCTCATACTGGATCTGATACTGGTTATTGTGGTAGTGAACCCATTTTTGCTTGCCAGCCATGAAGCCATTTTTATCTTAATTCATTAGAGAGGTGATCAAGAAATAGTAACAGTAGACCTAGTAACAAGGAACATAGGGTTCCTTGTTACTAGGTCTACTGTCAGGAACAAACTCATAATGCACAATGTTTTTCATGTCCAAAAAAAGCCACAAGCATTAACTTCTCATTGGATCTGTCAAAGATGAAATTTTTTCTGTCTTGGTGAAGATACTTGGTTTCCCTGTAAATGAAGTGCATTTGTTCTGTGAATAATATAGAAAGATACCAGGTTTCATTTCCAATAATCACCTTGTGTAGGATCCACATCTGTATCAACTATGTCAATCACTTATGTGCTGATGAATGCATGTTGCTTAGCCATTAGTTTCCTTGAGCAGTGTGAGAACAGACAAGATGCATTTTCAAATAATTATGAAGAATGATATATACAGTTTTGTAAAATTACCAAAATGCTAGATTATCTGTTGATTGTCTACAGTCTCAGAAAATCATTTTATTTCTTGCTGAAGCTGATAAGCTGGATGAAGATCATTCTCTGTTGATTCATGGCCTCCTTCCTTTAAAATACTTATATCATTTACAATATATACTTGTGTATGCATCATGGTATCATTACCACTGCTTCTTTAAGCATATTAGGTGTTTAGATAAAGTTTTTACCAAGTTGAAGAGAATTTAATGTTGATTTGTTGTTTATGCATAATTTTAGAATTTTGACAGTATACCTCTACATACTCCAGTTCTTTTTTTTTATATTTTAACTAGTGCTGAACAATAGAAATTTTTGTACCCAGGCATTTGATATAATTCAAGTAATACAGTGTTTCTCAACCTATGATTTATACACCCAAAGGTTTGTGAATATGTTAATGAGGGTCCTTGGGTTCTCAGAAGAAAAATTAAATTTTTTTTTGTTTTGTTTTTGTTTTTTTATGGAATTTTTTATTTCACAATAAATGCTCCTTGTAATATTTCCTTTTATTATTAAAAATACCCACTGAAGTTTTTAAATAAAAAAATATAAAATTATTTAAATTAGGATTTATAAAACAAAGACATTATTGTTTTTATATATAATCAATTGTATATGATGAAATCAGAATATGCTAAAACAATATTAAAGTTTTCATAATTTGGAATATTTTAAATTTAGGAATCAGTTTTAAAACAGATAAAGTTACATTTTATGTAAAACACTTTAATGAAAAAATATTTACATATAGTATCTCAAATTTTATTATTTTTTTTAATGAAATCATTAAAATTTAATTTTAGGGAAATGATGGTGCCCATTTATCTTGGGAAGCACCTCAAACAACATCAGGAGAAATAATGGAATATTCTGTATATTTAGCTGTACGATCTGCCACCACAGCTAATCAGGGAGATGGCACAAAAACAACTGTCATGTCAAATCCTTCTCAGTTGGCATTTGTTCGTGTTTATTGTGGTCCTAATCCATCATGCACAGTTAGTAATAACAACTTAGCATCAGCCCATATTGACACAACAACCAAACCTGCAATCATTTTCCGGATAGCTGCAAGAAATGAAAAAGGCTATGGTCCAGCAACCCAAGTTAGGTGGTTACAAGGTGAGTTTTTAGATTTGTATCTGTTAAATTAGTATTTATACAATGTTATGTATTGTGTTATGTTAACTACTACATACCCCAATATGTCTGATATTTTATATTTGCCATAATTTCTTGCAAATTATCTGCAACAACATATAACTTGCATTGGCATATACTCTACAGAAAATTTCTAATCACATACCTCATGCTTCTGAAATTGCTGCTGAAAACTTGGCTCTTGTCTTAAGCCATTTATTGAATTTTAAAAAAGTTTATTGAGAAACTAGTTAAACACTTGACAAAATACTGTAGTTTCAAACAAAAACAAAACAAATCATGGAAAATAACATCAAAAATTTATTATAAAGATTTATAAAAATAACCCATGAAAAGAAAAACATGAAATAAAAAATTTTAAAAAGTAAGCAAAATATTTATCAAGCATCACCTACACAGTTACTGTCTTTTTTTCTTTGTAGCATTTTCTGTAAAAATTGATTCCATTTTCAAATATTTGACAAATTAACATGCTTCATTTGAGATTCAGATCCATGTCCATAACATGTTTTGAAGTTTCTTAGTATTTTTCTAAGTTCCTTAAAAGAGATTTCTTTGGTGACATTTTGTTCTTCTTTAGTTGCAGCTGTTTCTTCCTCAAAATAGGCCTGCTATTGATCCAGCTTCATGAGTTCTATTTTAGTGAGTGGCTGTGAGTAAAAATTAAAGCATTCCCTGAATCAACTTCTAACCAAAATCCTGTCCAATCATGCTTATTTCTTTAATAATAACATCAATTTGACCCTTAAAGTCACTGGACTCATTTTGCTTAGAGAGAGGTTTTTCCATCAACCCTTGTTTTGCTGTTCTTAACTTCTTGCCAAGACTCAAATATTTTCCACAGCTTATTTAATATTTATATTTTCCAAAATAAATGCAATGAAATGAATTTTCACCTGCTGTAGCTTGAATTACTTGCTCAAAAGTTCTCTATAGATAATATAATAATATACCTTGAATGTCAAAATTACATCCTGATCCATCATCTGGAGAAAGACAGTTTGCAAGTAAGAAAGCAACATTTACAATTTTGCATAGTTTATTAAATGATGTAGGATGGCTGAGTGCATTGTGGATAACTAAGATTTTAAATTCCAGATAATTCTGCTTACAGTAATTTTTCACTGCTGGATAATACAATCTTCTCTACACACCGGTAAATATAAATAAAATACTCCTCAAACCTTTTAACCAAAGTGCTTCTATTTTTAGAATTGCGAACATTTTCGTCGCCCCTCCTGGGCTCTTTAATGGGATCACATACATGCAAGGCAAAGGAGTCCCAATGGGCAGTCTGGTATCGGGTGATTTGTGCGAAATGGTAATCAGGAAATTAGAAAACAACGTTCTACCATGCTTCTTGCACAGTATCTTGTTGTATAAATATTATATTGATGACATCATTATATTTTGGAAGGTGGAACCGGACATAAAACTCTTCCTAGAAGCCATGAACAATAATCCTTATGGGCTATCATTAGAAGTAGAGCAATGTGACTCTTTGAGGGTGCATTTCTTGGACATTGATATCAACTTTGAAGGAGCTAACATACATTGGAAACCTACTGTATATTGGAAACCTAGTTTCTTCCCCACATATTTTCCAAGAAATTCGTGCGATCGTATCCCATACAAAATCGCCACTTTCCGAGCATTAGTGAGAAGAACACACATGCACTCTTCAACGTCACAAGCTCTAGCAATGGAGCTCCATCATATAGAAAATACTGCTGTAGCCCATGGACAACAATACTAGTCGAAAATTTGTCTAAAAGACATGAGGTTTCCCAAAAAGCCATTGATCAGACAGGGCCACCATTGATTATATGTGAGGAAGAAAAAGAGAGGATTCCTATCACATATAATCCAACACTGAAATCAATCTACACCATGGTAGCCAAATGACGAGGCATAAATATTGCATACAGAAGATGTCAAACTGTCTTCCGGATGCTAACTAATGGCAAAGACCTACAAAACCCTGAAAGACTTACAGGAGTATACACAGTACAGCTAGAAGACAACAGGTGCAATAGACAACTGACATATATTGGTTCCATGAAACGTTTGTTAAAAGTGAAATTAAAAAAACACAAGTCAGACATACAGCACAGTAGGAACATAACAGTGGACCTGCATGTGGCAAAAATCATTATAACCAACTCCAACCCACAACAACTAAAATGGCTAGAAGCCATGGAGATATTTAAGGGAGGAATAAATGGTACATGTATTAATTATAAGGAGGAAATGGCCCTATCTGTAGCATGGCAGATTTTGCTAGATAACAGCATTTAAAGAGATGATTATGGAGCATGTGCAATACAACTATGGAATGATTTCACATGATAGTGTTCAGAAGAAATTCAGATTGAATGTTTATTTGAACAGTAACAGCCTATTCGATAAAGCCTGAAGAAGAGCCCAGGAGGGACAACGTAAATGTTCACGATTCTAAAAATAAAAGCGCACTGGTTAAAAGGTTTGAGGGGTATTTTATGCTGGATAATAGTTTTTGAATAATGCTGCTGTGACCCATACCTTTTCATTTGGTTTCTAAATTATAGGAAGTAATGATTTGTAATTTTTTTTATAGCCCATAAATTTTGCAAATGGAAAATCAACTAGGGTTTTAGTTTTAAATCACCTTTCAAGTTTTCTCCCAATAAAAGAGTCAGTCTGTTTTTTGAAGCTTTGAAACCCATTTGTGAACTCTCATTTTTTTCTAGAAAAGTTCTAAAAGGTATTTTTTCCCCTAGTAAAGACTGGTTTCATCAGCATTAAAAATTAAACAATTATCAAACAAAAATTACAAGTGCAGGAAATTTGACTGTTGATTCTTGTCTGCATTTGTGGTTTCTGCCAACAATTTTACATTTGTGCATGCCTGTATGGGTCTAAAATTTCTGGAGCATCCTTTGCTAACTGAAAATATTGTATTTACATTGAATTTTGCTTTATGGGATGAAAATAGCTGCATGCTTTAATTATTAAATTGTTTGTATCAGAGTATGTTTCTGATTACAATATTTAAGCCACACTGCACTAACAGATTTTCCATCATCAGATAAAATTGTTTTTAATGCATTGCATATTAAAAGAAGTTGATGTTACCTCACCTTGCAAATTATATTAATATAACTATCTAACTTAGATATGTTTGTTTGTATTTCTTTGATTTTGATATAAAAACACGCACAGTTAATTCATTAACGCCCAGAGCCCTTTTTTATTGGCCTTGTTTTTACCATTATCAAATTGTTTAATGATGTCCAGTTTGGTGTTCGATGTAATCAATTTGCATTTCTTATCATAAGTCATTCTATTTCATAAATTTTAGTAGGTAACAAGTATTAAAACAGTCTGCAATGTTTCTTAATGGGATAAAGTAGCTCATCACCTATTACATTCTGGGTTTTTAGCACATTGTGCACTTTCAATAAAACAGTGCCCAAAATATGTTTTCAACTGCACTGGCCACATTATTTTGAAATCAAAACTCAAAAATCTCATTTTATCTTTTGGCATGCTGTTGCAGGAGAATCAGAAATAATAATATAAGTGTATAAATTGTGTTTATATAATAAAACTATAGGTTTTCTATTTTAAAAAAATCATAATTTTGTAAATAAGTTACTATAAATTTTTTATAAATTAATTGGATTTTATTTTTTCTACATATTTAAGAAAATAAGATATTACATAGGTCTGAAAATATTGAAAATAATTGAATTAAATTTGATTCCTTCACTGATAAATTTCTGTAATATTAATTGAATTGAATATCTTCATGTTTGTTTACAATTTTACAAATATAACTTACTCATGTATGTTAAATACGAATGCATTGTTGCTCCTTATTAATTAATAGTAATATTATTATTTTTATATTTTATAGTTTCAATAACATTTATATTATTGATTTAGCTGCTGATAAAACTGTACAATTTCTAATCTGTTGACAATTGAAAAATATAGCAATTATTTTAGCTATTCATTAGTTATCATAAATTTTTAATAATTCTAGGTTTGAAATGAACTAGTGTTAAAAAATTTAAATTTCATACACACTAAAAATATCAATTTTTTTTAGATGGGACAAATCCATCTGCGAGTCGGAACTCCTCTGGAAGTTCCAGTATGAAAAGGCCTGGCTCAGATACGTATGTATTAGTTTATATATCATTATTTTACGATATAATAAAACAATACTATGATATTTACATTTGATAGAAAAAAAAGATGATGATGTAATGAAAATATAAATGGACTAAATATTTTTATAAAACATAAATTATATGATGTGAAATAAATACAATTAATAAAATATTCCAAAAAATGAGAGATGTGCTACTTTCTCAATTTGATGTGTTTTTCTTTAGATAAATGCGTTTTATATATATTTTTTCATGAAATAATTACAAAAAACCACTATCTTATCATTCCAGCAAATAAATTTAATGAACTCAAAAGTGATTTTGATTCAGCTTAGTCGATCATCATTAGTGGCAGATCATAAAAAATGAAATAGAATACAAAATTTAAAGTTAAATAAAAAAAAAATTTTTTTGAGAAAAAGAACACAGTATTCAAATATGCAAGTGTAAAAAAATGGGGGGAAAACAAACAAAAATTGGATGTTAACATTGCAAACAAAAATATTCTAAAAGTAAAATTACATAAAGTTAAACAAGGCTGCATTTTGTGTAATGATTTCTCGTGTAGTGGACAATGAGTCTTCATCCCGATAGAAACCCTAGATGTGTTAACTATTTGCTTTGTAAATTTCCATGATTTCCAACTGACTTAGGCAATTAACATCGTTCATTAGGTCTAATGATCTCAGCACTGTCCCAAATGGCTTCCGTGCTAAGATCATTAGCAAATGCCAACAGGGCTGTGGCAGTTAGACCTTTATTCACCAGCCATTTGTGCTCCTTAATTCTACTAAGGAGGTTCCACTTGGTTGTGCTAATGTATTTCATTTTTGTGTTGAATCAGTGGTCCTGTATGCGTCCAGAATAAATGCCAAAGGAACTGGAAGGATCCTATGGATTTTTGTCATTACAAGTTTGAAAACAGTTGGACTGCACTTAAAAGTGAGGTTCAGATTGTTGTGGTTCACAATTGCCTTATGTATCCTATGCAAGGCAAGGAAATACCTTAATACCTTAAAGTTATCCTCTGTTTTATCATATGATATGTTCTCTCTATTTTATGTGTTTCAAAGGCATTAATTAAATTGTTTGCTAACTTTCTAAGGTACCCATATTGTAGTGCCACCTTCCTGATGTAATTAAGTTCTCTTAAAATGTCAAGCATATTGGAGCAATATACCTGCATGTGGCAAAAATCATTATAACCAACTCCAACCCACAACAACTAAAATGGCTAGAAGCCATGGAGATATTTAAGGCGGAAAAAAATGGTACATGTATTAATTATAAGGAGGAAATGGCCCTATCTGTAGCATGGCAGATTTTGCTAGATAACAGCATTTAAANTATTACATTTCGTACTAATTTCTATTAAAATTATTTAATATTAATTATAAAATTTAGGACAGGGTCGGCATTAGGCCAAGAGTGAAGTAAGTTTAACTATTATTTTCACGCGTTTAAAAAGAGTTTTAAAGAGTGTAAAACCCTTTTTTTAAGGGTGCCTTAAGCGAAGTACAGAAATTACGACCAATCAAATACAATGTCTCGTATAAATATAGGATCGAATAACACAAATCATGTGACATATCGGCTCAATTTCGAATGATAATTTGAGTTAATTGGATAATTTAACTAAAAATATATTTAAATTTTCGTAAGGGATATAAATTTCTAATATAGAAACGAAAACAAAGTCATTTTCGAAGTAAATTAATTCAAAAACTTCCTGCAAAAATTGAAAAATATATATATTAACCTAGTTTCTATACAGGAAAATATAGTTTATTCTTGAAAGTATATATGTATTGTATTTTTTTTTTTACCCTATCTTTATTTTTTTATTGTTTATATCTACCAATAATACGTGATTAAAGGGGTGGAGAAAGTAGAAAGTAGATGCTACCATAACATAACTTGAAAGTAAAGTCTGGTTGGGTGAGGGCCCTTCACGAAACTAATCTCTATACCGAGCACCCTTGACTGAACGACTTTTAAATATGTAGTAATTTTATGGGGTTAATTTTGATTTATGCAATTTTAAATAAGTCAAGGGAGTCGGGAGTGTAAACCTTAATCGATTCTGACTAATGTGCTCGTGTGAAACCGTTCTCTTACCCTTTTACATCGCGCCTCATACGGAGGAGATTTTTGGAGATTTTATACATTATTCGAGAAGAATAATTGTTTTGAATCACGTAAGTATCCATTTTCTTTATTTATATTAAATATTTTAATCACTCTACACTCGAAATTGCCTATATTTTTGGGTTATTTCGCTACAACCAAGCGATTTTTGACAAGCGATGAAGCGTGTGAAGCGTGTGAATTTATACAGTTCTTTTTTCTCCTCGAAAGCTCTTAATTGATGCTGAGAGATGCGTTAAAAAGAAAATAGCTTCGCGTAAAGAATATAANAAATATATAAGAAATAGAAATATTTCAACAATTTCCCGAAATATTTAAATAAAATGTAAAAGAAAGACTTATTAGTTTGTTATTATTGATAAATGTAGCGCAATGCGACGCGGTGCGATCGCATCGCGCGCGCCTAAAAGCATGGATAACGATATAACAACACTAAAAAACACCTCAAATATATAAGAAATAGAAATATTTCAACAATTTCCCGAGATATTTAAATAAAATGTAAAAGAAAGACTTATTAGTTTGTTGTTATTGATAAATGTGGCGCAATGCGACGCGGTGCGACGCGACTCTCCCTTATAACCACTTTTTAAACTTAATTACGTGTAAAAAGTATTTCATTATTAATTTACTAAGTAAATTTTAATATAAACGAGTTAAAATTTATAATCTTTTTAGATTTATTTAACAATTTTAAACGCAAGAATATGAAACAGAAACGAGAAAGTATGGCTATTTTGGGTATACTTTTTGCATTTAGTTTCGTTCCAACAGGTAAGTTAATATTATTACTTAATACAATAACTACTTCCGTGTGAACGGGTTACTGAATTTAGTCTCTTTTGTTATAAGATTTGGAGTAAATTGAATAAAAACACTGACACATTTTTGACCGGAGACGGGATAACAATAGAATAATTTATTCATTTTCCAGTTTTTTTATCCATTAGATTTCTCTTAAAGGAACGATAAATTGATCTCGTTTCTTATCGAATTATCTAAAAAATATTAGCGTAATATACGAGAAATTGTTTAGAAAATGAATAACCTCTCTATTAAGTCACTCGTTGTAACACAAGACAATTGTATAATAGAATTATTATTATTATTTTTGCAGTGGTTACTTTAAAAAATGAGATAAATAGTCACTGGGGATATAAAGGAGAAAATGGTAAGTTGAAATAATTTACTTTTATATTTTTTGTATTGTAAGAATTTAATTTTTATTCCCTCCTACCTACATGTCCATCCGATTGGAAGTACGATTATCCCTACTGTTCATTACACAGGCAATCGCCTGTAGATATAAGGATGAATAAGGTTGTTAACGATACAAAGTTAGGTAGATTAGTGTTTGGCGGTTATACAGAACCGATACGTAAAGCCATTCTTAAAAATACCGGCCATACGGGTGAGTAAAAGTATTGTATATTGTATTATACACTTTACTTGCTTAGTGTTTAATGATACAAAGGATTTCTCTGTAGCTCAGTTGACCTTTTATAACGCAAAACAGTGGATAGGTAGGGAGAGCACGTTGGAGAGGTATCGATTGATGCAATTGCATTTCCATTGGGGTTTAGAGAATGAACGTGGCTCGGAACACACTATTGACGGGAAGAGGTTTCCACTAGAAGTAAGTGCTATTTTCGTGTGAAATAATATGTAAATCACTGTAAGTACATGCATTATTTGTATAGATGCATCTTGTACATTACAACGAACGATACAAGCCTGGAGAAGCAGCAAAGAAACCCGATGGTCTGGCTGTACTTGCTGTTCTTTTCGAAGTAAGTTTAGTAATTTATCACTGTAAAACTACGTATCACACTACTTACGAAATAATACAATGCATTTTTAAGCTGTCCAAAGTGGATAACGAGAAATTCGAAACATTCTTCGAAGCCTTGCAACAGATCAAAGAAGAAGATTCGCAACTTTTCCTCTTACACAGATTTAACATCGCAAACTTCATCCCAGAGGAGACTTTTCCATATTTTCGGTATAAGGGATCTCTAACTACTCCACCTTGTTACGAATCTGTTACGTGGACCCTTTTGATGAAGAAACAGAAAATTAGCAAATCACAGGTATATCAACAGCTAAATCTGCGAAAATTAAGAGATGAAATATTACAAATGATTGTTTATTATATTAATAGTTAGAGCAATTTAGAAAATTGAAGAAGAAATTGAAGCTAGGAAACGTCAAGATGGGAGATAACTTCCGTCCTACGCAGAAATTGAATGGAAGAGTAATCAAATTAGCAACAGAAGGAGGAATTTCGGAAAGATCCTCAGCTTCTGAAGGGAATAATCTTTTTTCTAGTGTTATTTTATCTGTATCAGTTCCTATTATAAACTCCATTTTCGGGAAATTAGACATGTTATTCGGGTAAAACAAGAATTCATTTAATGTATTTAAATATTTATGCATTCATCATTATCATTTTTAGAATCGAAGATATAAATAAAAATATAATAAAATATATTTTTTATGAAAATTTATTCATTTAATATTAATAAAATCATTTAAAAATAAGATTGTTTTTGTTTTTCTTTTATATAATTTATATTTTCAAGTAAACTACATAAATAAGATAGCAATTTAGAGTGTTTAAACTAACTTTTAGGACACCCTTTATAAATATTAGGAGAAATTATTTTATTAAAATTTCAATAATGATGATTGAAACAATGGATTTTCTATTGTAACGATATGTCCTTCTTTAACATTAGAACCTTCGACTAGTTCTGTGCCAAAATCATCATTTTGCCCTTCTCACAATGGGCAATTTCGAATTTTTTATGAAGAGAAGTGGCAAAGATTACGAAAATGATAGTATAATAATAAATCCAAATGCACAGAATGATAAAGGGCGCACTTCTTTACACATTGAAACCATTAAAGGAGATCGTCAGATGGTTCTAAAAATGTTAAAGAGTGGTGTTGACATTAATATTCAAGATGAAGATGGGAAAACAGCATTGATGTTGGCCATCCAATGGAGTCATGAACACGTTGCTAACACTTTACTGGAAGCTCGTCCGAATATAAGTATTTCTGATAAAGAAAACATGACAGCTCTTCATCTTTTGGCAAAGACAAAACTAATAATATTAGCTTTGAAGATCATTAAGATGGGAGCTAATGTTGATGCAATTGATAACAAAGGCAGAACTCCATTGATGCTTGCTTGCCAGTATAAAAATTTGGATATGGTCTCGTTGCTATTGGAACAAAATGCAAAAATTCATATCAAAGATTCAATGGGAAGAAGTGCATACGAGTATACAAGTGATCCCGAGATTATTTTTTTGATGAAAGGGATGGTTAAGCACAGAAAGGGTGCTCGAGAAGGATCAGAACTCGAAAACGTTAATTGTGAACTTCAAAATATAGACAAAGATCTAGAAAGTGACGATACTATAGCATACAACAACATCGTATCAGAGTCTGAGAATCATTCTTACTTACGGCTTCCTCATCATACTAACAACGAGTCTCTACAAAGTTCTACTTCAATGCACATTTTGGAAGTGAAGCCGAGCAATGTGTCAGATATCAGTGGAATTTTAGGCAAATTACAACAAGAAAATAGCGTATTAAGAAGAAAAGGATCAACCACAGCTAGTGAAGAAAAGAATAACCACAAGAAAAATGAAAAATCCACTACGAAACTATCACAAACAGTTGAAGAGGATGAAAATCCATTGAAAATTTCATGGCATTCTTTAATTCAAAGCACTGGAGCATCTAACCGCATTAAAAACTTTGATTTGATCAATGGAAACTATTCATTAAATACAGAAAATGATGAAATAGCCTTGAAGTCTTCGTGTAATTCTCTTCCCTTCAAGAAAAAATATAGAAAAGTAACATTTGATTGGGAAAAACAACAACACGGACCATTTAAACTAATAAATGATCATAAATTTAAAACGGATTACTCATATTCTAAAGGCAATTTAGATCTTTCGCCTTTAGATTTCGATGAATCAGAAATGATACGAAGCAATCTGTTCAGCATAATGGCACCCCAGTCAGACTTAGAGAATGAAAATAGCAAATTTGATAAAATCATCAATAGTACTCAATTATTTAAAGCTGATAATTTAAGAAAAACGATAATTAAAGTAGGGGACAACGTCAAGAAAATGGACAAAGAGTTTAATGCTCTTCTAATTTACACAAAGAAACTTTTAGTAGAGAAAAAGAATTTGAGAAATATCATTGCAGAAATGAAAACAGAAAGCCAAGATCTAAAAAATGAGTTGAAAGAATTTGTCGAGAAAAATAAAATTTATTATCTTAGAAGCGATATATCAGAAACTGAAAATCAAGTGAAAACTCTAATCGATGTGCACAAAAATCTGATAGATAAACTTGAGAATTTGGTAGAGAAAAGTGAAGAAAAATGCAAAGAATACTTAGAAAGGAAGAGGTGTTTACTTTCAGAGACTGAAAGAATAAAAAACGATAATGATACAGTAGAAACAAGCATCGAAAAACTTAAAAAGTACGTTAAACACCTAAACAACCAATCAACAGAAAAATTCATTGCAAAAACGAAAAAATTTGAGAATTTAGAAGCATTATCATCGAAATTTAAATACGATGTGGAGGAAAGATGCAAAGAAATTAAAGAAATACAGCAACAGATCGAACACCAGAAACAGATCATCGAAGATATCAGAACGAAATTAAGAGCATTTCATCAACTACTGAAGAAAGTTCAATCGAATATAAAGTTCATAAATCAAAAATCAAACACCTTTAAAGATATTTTTCGAGAAATAAATGAAGATTTCAAAATAGCTATTAACAATTTCAATTGTTTTGAAGAACAAATGAACGACGGGCATCGTCTAAAGTTCGAATTGAAAAATAAATTTGAAGAAATCGATAAATTGATTAATGTAATCAACGAGAAGAGAGCAGAAAATATAGAAGAAATAACAAAATTGGAAAAAAGCATTCAATTAGAATCAGAAAGAAGAAGAAAAGAATTGTGTGAAGATTCAATGAGATGCATTAATCTTTTATTGAAGGAGCGCATAACTTGGAGCAAGAAGAGCAGAAGAATCATTCAGTTGTTAGAAGAGATGGAAAATGAAGATATCTATTCTTTTAATTTAAAAAAAGAAATGGAAGAAAAATATCCACGTTTAAGAGAGGAGGAAGAAGAAGAAGAAGAAGAAGATAATACTGAGGAAATTTTAAAAATGACACATAACTCTATACACAGCGACGTTATCACAGGAGGGGTTCTGAGTGTGATTGGAAGAGGTAGGTAAAAACGAAAAATCTCGTTTAATGACAAAAGAAACGTGTACAAACACGACGAATTTAACCAATCGGGATTTCTCTTCGGTTTCAAACGACGATGATCAATCGAAAGGAACGTTTACCAAATATTCAAAAAATATTGTTGCCATACGTGACTTTGATCATTAATAAAATGTATGAAACAGAATATTATTAAAATTTTAACATCATTATTGTTACCATACAATAAGTTCATTTTCAATACGAGGGACTTTCAGGGAATTTTTCGAATATCGATTTTTTACATTGTAAAAAGAGCTGGTTCGAAGTATCAGCAACATAATTGATGCTTCTCATAGAACAGCAGTTGTGGGTTTGCGCCTCACTAACAGTGGAATTCACCTTTTCCAGTTGTTCATTACCTAAATATGGGCCAGTTTTCCATCATAAAAACCTTTCGAGAAAGCTTTTTATATTATTCTGAAGTGTTATTCTTCAATTTGATTTATAATTTATGTATAAAACACGAGATCAAAACTCTAATCATTTACAAACAATTTAATGCATATATTGATTCTTCTCACTTTTCGACAGAAGTCAAAATACGTTTATTATATAAAATATGCAATTCGTTTTCTAGTAAATATTATATAACATATTTTCTATATAATAATATGAAAAATATTTTATTAATGTATCGAGTTATCAGAGTTCGTAGTCCATCCAATCACTTCTTCTTATTTTAAAAATTCAAATTTATCAATCTCTGATTCGCTAATTGAATCACAGCAAAGTTTTTGTGTTAATTTACGTAGGTCTTTGACTTCTTATGCACTTAATAATATTCAAATACAAATTTGACGATATTTACATCATGGTTAATGATGCCAACTTAGGGATTTTCCCTAAAATTTAGGCAAGATAGGGAAAACTTAGAGGGAAAATGTGAATTTACAAAAATTGTACAAATATAAAGAAATTTGAGCTGGAAATTTATAGAAGAACAGAATATAAGTGTAAATCCTACTGTTTCATTTAAAACTCCATAATGTAAAAAATTTAGAAAATATCATTGCTTATTCAGGCAAGCCAAATAAAGAAATGTTTCTCCTCCGTTTGGAACTGCATAAGAATTCGTCATTTTGTATGAATTTATGTTAAATAGACTACAGTCGACCCCCTATAACACTGTTGATTTTTCCGTTTTATATGAATTTCATGTTGTACGAGTCACTTAGATTTGACAAATACGTGAGCCGTTCACAGCCCAGCACACGTATTTGTAAAATCTAAGTGACTCGTACAACATGGAATTCATATAAAACTGAAAAATCAACAGTGTTATAGGGGGGTCGACTGTACTTAACTCATTCAAGAACTGCTTATCACACAAAACAATAGTTTTACATGTTTCAGCAACTCGAATTTCATAAAATACAACTGTACTAGGAATTGATTTTACTTTCCTATAACCACCGAACAAAATAAACAAATTGTGTGTATATATAATACAATTGCAGTTAGATATTTGAACAACAGAGAACGGTGAGTCTGAATTATAACGCTTTGTTTAATTATAAATTCTATCATCTCGTATAAAATCGCTAAGAAATTAGATTTTAGATGATCTCATAGCTTATTTATACAAAAATTAATTCAAGTCCGTGGTAGATATCATAGAATATTAACTTTTAAGATGTCAAAAGTAAACATGAAGCTTGCAATTACATTTATTTTCGGCGTATTCCTGTTACGAGAATGCAATGGGCAGATCATCGTCAACACTGGAACTGCAAAAGTCATGGGTAAAACAATTAATGTTTTAGGCAGGAAAGTTCATGCCTTTTTAAGNATTCCGCACTGAGAGCACTAAGAGGGTCTCTTTTCAAGACGTTAGAGACAGTAGAAATAAGCAGTGACTGACGTTTACTATATCGAAAAATCCATTATTTGTCCACGTCCAGATAGAGGGATGTCTCTCTGTTTTGATCTGCATAATAATTACTGCCTTCGCATGTATTTATGATAAATATTATTTAAATTAGTTAAATCAGCTTATTCAAACAGGAATAATTCACTTTTACATATAACAACAACTCGAATTTCACAGAAGTGCAATTATACTTAGAATTTATTTTATTTTCCTATCAATAACAAACAAAATAAACTAACTGCCTGTATATAAATATATCATGAAATTCGAGTTAATTATTTATGCAAGAGCAAACGACGGTGAGTCTGAATAGTATCGAATTTACATAATTATAAATTCTATGGCTTCATCCGTAAGGGTTTAGAATTTAGAAATTTTCATAGATTATTTATATGAAAGTTGATTTAAGTTCTTCGTAAATATCGAGAAAAATTATATTTTTAACATTACAATATAAACATGAAGCTTACGATTGCATTTATTTTTGGCATATTCATGTTAACAGAATGCAATGGGCAGGTTATCGTCAACACTAAAGCTGGAAACTATATGGGTAAAACAATTAAAGTTTTAGGCAGGGATATTAATGCATTTCTGGGTATTCCCTATGCTTCACCTCCGTTTCGTACATGGAGATTTCACCCTCCTTTTCCTATCATATGGAAAAGCGTTTATAAGGCCATAGAAAAACCACCCTCCTGCGTGCAACATCCATCTACACAGGACTTCCAATGGGTTCCGGATTTAGAAAATATGGACGAAGATTGCCTTTATCTGAATATTTGGGTTCCTGCCGAGAACAAAGAACAATCTCCGTTATCGACAATGGTGTGGATTCACGGAGGAGGATACAGCACGGGATCGTCGAATCTGGATGTCTACGACGGAGGGGTGATGGCGTCGTTAGGTAACGTCACAGTGGTATCTTTTAACTATCGGCTCGGTGCGTTTGGATTTCTTTATTTTTATCCACATTTGACTCATAAAAACGTTGCTTTGAACGATCAATTTTACGCTCTTAAATGGATCTACGAAAACATAGAAGCATTCGGAGGTAACAGTAACGAAATCACACTATTTGGCCAAGATGCGGGAGCGTGGTCCATAGGCTATCATCTAATTTCGTCTTTACCTCAAAGATTTTTCAAAAGGGTCATAATGCAAAGCGGAAGCATTTATCATCCTAGTTTAACTGTAGATTCACAAATGAGTTTATCACTAAGTTTACTTCTAGCAAATGATCTTAAATGTAATAAGTCTGAAAACTATAACAATACATTTGATTATTACAAAGACGTGATGAAATGCATGGAAGAAAAAGAACCGTTAGATATAAGTTTTACCGAAAGGGAATATCGAAAAGCGTTGTACAGGCATATCTTGTTTGTTCCTCAGGTTGGAGATACGTTTCTTCTACCCACGAAGCCCATTGATAGTTTCGACTTCATCAAGTTTAACGATGTTGATGTCATGTTAGGCAACGTAGCAGACGAAGGATCGCTATTTCTTGCGCTTTATAACGAAAAACTTTTACTTTCCAATAACCCGATAATTACAAAGCATAATGTCACAGAATTCTTGGAACCTGTTATGGAATATAATCGAACTTCACTCGAACCCATCATAAAACAGTATTTCGAAAATGTTCCCGACGACGACTTTCCAACGATTATTAAACGAACTCATCAGGCGATAGGCGATTGGATGTTCAAGTGTCCTACAAATTTCCTGGCAGAGAAGCTTGCAGAAAAGAAATTCAACGTGTTTCATTACACTTTTAAGCACAGAAGCGGCACAAATATATACCCAAAATGGACCGGGGTACCTCATTTCGAAGAAGTTCAATTCGTATTCGGTGTTCCTCTATTGAAAACAAACGAATACACCGTCGAAGAACAAGAATTCAGTAGAAATCTCATCGAACTTTGGACTTCTTTCGCTAAAACTGGGTAAGGCGGCAACTAAATTACCACGAATTTGCATAATTTATAAAATATAATTGTAAAATACGTTTATAACGTTAATATTTATACATTTTCTGTTTCAGGACTCCACATGTTGATAATAAGTTGGAAAGATGGCTTCCGTACACTAATCAAGAACCGAATTCTATAGAATTGCAACCGAAAAACATAAAAGCTACAAAGTTACATTCAAATGAATATTGTGAATTTTGGAGGACTGATTTTGAGAGAGAATTATAACAAGTGTAATCACAATATTCATATTTCTTGTACGTCTTTAGCAACTTCAGAAAGTGTTAGTAGAAAATATATTTTCTGAATTTTAAAATAAATCCGAATTAATCAAACCATTTTATTTTGTATTCATTTCCTGTAAGAATGTCGATATCATTTAAATTTCTATATACTTGTTAATAGTTCATTTTCTGAAACATTGACTCATTCCGCACTGAGAGCACTAAGAGGGTCTCTTTTAGCAAATCCATTACGGGTCCTGCCACAATACGGATGGTGAGGAACGGAGGCTGACATATCTGTTCAGACAACCCCCGAATAGTTTTGGGGATTTTTCGACCCATTTGGATTTGATCACGGGTCCTCCAGAGCGGTAGGATGCCATTTGGTCGTTTTTTACGGGTGATTCTTCCCGATTATGTCGAGCCTCGTCCTTCACCGATCGCGGGTTCGCGCTTCGCGAACGGAGTGATCAAGTAGTGTTTCTAATACCTAAATATGGTCAGTTTCCCGTAAAAACTCCTCTGAGGAATGTCCTACTTTGATAGAGCGCTCGTGTTGCCTAATTCCATTAAGTGATTGACATATTTTCCTATACACTTCATACAAAGTAAAATAAAATACGGTGGTTTCTAGTACAGTGGTGCCTCGTATAACGTACGCCTCGAATAACGGACCCTGCGAATAACGGACTTTCTGTTTGACCGTTACGTGACTCGAGCAACGGACTTGCTGCGAACAACGGACTTTCCGTTCGGCAGTTAAGTGACACGAACAATGGACTTTCTTCGAACAAGTGCGAATGATGTTTCCACTCTTTTGCCGTTGCCAATGACAATCTGCTATTTTTAGGATATATTAGTATTATTAGAATGCATTATTAGTATATCTGAAGTAGAAATGTAATGTAATATATTTTGATGATTTAAATAAACATTAAATGTAATGTAATACAGTATATGTTGACGATTCAAATAAACGAAATGTAATTGTGCAGATGCNGAAAATATGAGCGAAGATTGCCTTTACCTGAATATTTGGGTTCCTGCCGAGAACAAACAACAATCTCCGTTATCGACAATGGTGTGGATTCACGGAGGTGGATACAACACGGGATCGTCGAATCTGGATGTCTACGACGGAGGTGTTCCTCTATTGAAAACAAACGAATACACCGTCGAAGAACAAGAATTCAGTAGAAATCTCATCGAACTTTGGACTTCGTTCGCTAAAACTGGGTAAGGCGCCAACTAAATTACCTTGAATTTGCATAATTTATAAAGTATAATTGCAAAATACATTTATAACGTTAATATTTGTAAATTTTCTGTTTCAGGACTCCACATGTTGATAACTTGGAAAGATGGCTTCCGTACACTAATCGAAAGCCGATTTCTATGAACTTGCAACCGAAAAACATAAAACTCACAAAGTCAATTCCGAACGAACACTGTGAATTTTGGAAAACTTTTTTTCACGTATAATTATAGTAATTGAGGGGTTAAGTGGAAAAATGGCATATACTACACCAGAAAACTTTTTAGATAAAGGACGATTTGTATTTTAATTCGCCACATTTTAATATGCATCGCTTTGTCAATACGGATGTAGAACATGGAGGACATGCAACTGAACCATAAAAGTTATTTAGAAAATGGATTAATTAATGATGCATAAATCCATATTTGTTAGTAACTCATATTTTTGTAGTTTTGTGTGATTTGCCGTTTTCCACTCAGCCCCTTAATTGCAATTGCAAAATTTACATTTCTTGTACGTCTTTAGCAACTTCGGAGACTGGTAAATGTAGTTTGTGTATTTTAAAATAAAATCGAATTAATCAGACCATTTGTATGCGTTTCTTTTAAGATTATGTGAAGTACGATATCATTTAATTTCTGCCTACTTTGTAATGGTTTATTTCCTAAAATGTCAAGTAGTTAAGGTGGCAGCATATCACTACGGGGAATTTAGGGATGATTTCTTCGGTCCTACAGGGTTTTGTCTAACAATCTCCCGAACGGTTTCTCATAGAAAGTCCTCTTTGATAGATCGCCCATCTCTTTGTCTTACTCCACATTTCTCTATTGAATTTATGCAAAATAAAATAAAATAACAAGAATAACATTCAAATTTATCATTTACATTCTAGACCAATAAATGAATAGACTATCTAAAGTTAGAAATGAAATAAAGCTATATGAAAAATCAGCATAGATTAGAAACTCTACCTTTTACTGATTCCAAATGTTTCATTCAATACAAAGAAACATGGTTGTTCATACGCGTCAACAGCCTGATTTTCGATATGACAAAGTACAAAATTATCAAAATTTCCATATAATAAACAATAATATAAATGAATTAATATAATTTTACAATTTAATTTAATATATTTCCTATAATGTAATTATACCACTTTATTAGAGAGAGTAAAGTTCATAGCTACAATTTATTTATAAATTCTTAAAACTTCAATTACTGCATGTCCTTACTCTACGTATTTTTCCTTTATTGATTACTACACGTGCTTAATAACTAACGCTTGCACCTAAACACTCGCTTACTCTCCCACGTTTCCAGTTTTCTCTCCTTTGCTTTACATTAGCGGGACTTCCGTTAATTTAGCACCGGTCCGTTTAAATGAGGGTGCCTAGTGTCATGTCAGTAGCAACACGAGAAAATCACGTACTGTCGATTTGTTCAATGAATGCGTATCATAAGACACTTCCATTACTTCCTGTTGTTACTTATACAATCGGAGACTAGACATCAGTTAGGGTCCCATAAATTCAAAACTAGAAATAGGGATATTATGAGGTAGCATTGTGGTAAAATTTCATGGATATTCTGCATTAGGGAGGTGTTAGCTACTCTAGAAAATCAGTGGATAATAATATTAAGAATCCTCATTTAAATATAAGGCAATTTTAACAATATTACAAGACTCATACATTTATAAAACCATTAATATCGATAAAGTAACAATAAAATAACAAAATCCGTTAACCAGTAAAATAACCACACGCTTAGCTGTGGTATGATGTATTCTTGCAGCTTCTTGGACACGCATACCTGGTGTATGAAACAGTTACGTATTAAAAAGGATCTTAAGATATAAGCAAACAAACGGCAGATCACGCGTACATCCTCATTTCGAGGGATAAAGGGAGTGGTGATCAGCGACCGGCTTTCAGAGCTTACATGACTTTACTCAAAGACAGTATCGTACTTATTTCTTTTAATACCGTACGTTCCGTGAGAGCATTCGGCAATTTTCAAACAGGAATGCTCGCATCTTTTCATCTCGTCCTACTACTGTATTTCTTGGAATAAACAAAAGTAATGTGACTGGTGAATATATTGTATTTACAGATTACGTACTTAACTCATTCAAGAACTGCCTATCACACAAAACAATTGTTTTACATGTTTCAGCAACTCGAATTTCATAAAATACAACTGTACTTGGAATTGATTTTACTTTCCTATAACCACCGAACAAAATAAACAAATTGTGTGTATATATAATACAATTGCAGTCAGATATTTAAACAACAGCGAACGGTGAGTCTGAATTTTAACGGTTTGTTTAATTATAAATTCTATCATCTCGTATAAAATCGCTAAGAAACTAGACTTTAGATAATCTCATAGCTTATTTATACAAAAATTAATTCAAGTCCGTGGTAGATATCATAGGATATTAACTTTTAAGATGTCAAAAGTAAACATGAAGCTTGCAATTACATTTATTTTCGGCGTATTCCTGTTACGAGAATGCAATGGGCAGATCATCGTCAACACTAACACTGGAGAAGTCATGGGTAAAACAATTAATGTTTTAGGCAGGAAAGTTCATGCCTTTTTAAGTATTCCCTATGCGATTCCTCCGATCGGTCAATACAGATTTCATGTTTCTATGCTTAACTTATGGAAAATCGTTTACAATGCCACAGAAAAAACGCCCTCCTGCATGCAATGCCCATTGATACCGGAATTCCCGTGGGTTCCGGATTTAGAAAATATGAGCGAAGATTGCCTTTACCTGAATATTTGGGTTCCTGCCGAGAACAAACAACAATCTCCGTTATCGACAATGGTGTGGATTCACGGAGGTGGATACAACACGGGATCGTCGAATCTGGATGTCTACGACGGAGGGGTGATGGCGTCGTTAGGTAACGTCATAGTGGTATCTTTTAACTATCGGCTCGGTGCATTTGGATTTCTTTATTTGGAACCACTTTCGACTATTAGTAACAATGCACTGTTGGATCAATTACTCGCTCTCAAGTGGATCAAACACAACATAAGAGCATTCGGAGGTAATAGTAAGGATATCACATTATTTGGACAAGATGCGGGAGCGTGGTCGATAGGTTATCATCTACTTTCTCCTCTATCTCGCGGACACTTCAAAAGAGCAATAATGCAAAGTGGAAGCATTTATCATCCTTATTTAACTACAGATGTAGATGATAGCTTATGCATGAGTTTAAAACTAGCAGGCTCGCTTAATTGTGCTAAAAACTATGATGGTACAATTAAACCTTACAGAAACATAGTTGCGTGTATGAAAGAAAAAGAAGCGTTAGATATAAGTTTTGCTGAAAAAAAAATCTTGTTTGAGAAGTATCACTTTCTAGACTTGCTTCCGCAATATGGAAGAAGTTTTTTACCCAGCAATCCGATTGATAGTTTCGACTCCATCAAGTTTAGCGATGTAGATGTCATGTTAGGTAATGTAGCAGACGAAGGATCGCTGTTTCTTGCGCTATATAACAAAAAACTTATACAAGAAAGGAACCCGAGAATGACGAAGCACGAGGCTATAAAATACTTTGAAAAAAGTACTGGATATGATCAAACTACACTCGAACCCATCATAAAACAGTATTTCGAAAATGTTCGCGACGGTGACTTTCCAACGATTATTAAACGAACTCATCAGGCGATAGGCGATTCGACGTTCAAGTGTCCTACAAATTTCCTGGCAGAGAAGCTTGCAGAAAAGAGATTCAACGTGTTTCATTACACTTTTAAGCACAGAAGCGGCAAAAATATATACCCAAAATGGACCGGGGTACCTCATTTCGAAGAAGTTCAATTCGTATTCGGTGTTCCTCTATTGAAAACAAACGAATACACCGTCGAAGAACAAGAATTCAGTAGAAATCTCATCGAACTTTGGACTTCGTTCGCTAAAACTGGGTAAGATGGCAACTAAATTACCTTGAATTTGCATAATTTATAAAGAATAGCTGTAAAATACATTTATAATGTTAATATTTGTAAATTTTTTGTTTCAGGACTCCACATGTTGATAACTTGGAAAGATGGCTTCCGTACACTAATCGAAAGCCGATTTCTATGAACTTGCAACCGAAAAACATAAAACTCACAAAGTCAATTCCGAACGAACACTGTGAATTTTGGAAAACTTTTTTTCACGTATAATTATAGTAATTGAGGGGTTAAGTGGAAAAATGGCATATACTACACCAGAAAACTTTTTAGATAAAGGACGATTTGTATTTTAATTCGCCACATTTTAATATGCATCGCTTTGTCAATACGGATGTAGAACATGGAGGACATGCAACTGAACCATAAAAGTTATTTAGAAAATGGATTAATTAATGATGCATAAATCCATATTTGTTAGTAACTCATATTTTTGTAGTTTTGTGTGATTTGCCGTTTTCCACTCAGCCCCTTAATTGCAATTGCAAAATTTACATTTCTTGTACGTCTTTAGCAACTTCGGAGACTGGTAAATGTAGTTTGTGTATTTTAAAATAAAATCGAATTAATCAGACCATTTGTATGCGTTTCTTTTAAGATTATGTGAAGTACGATATCATTTAATTTCTGCCTACTTTGTAATGGTTTATTTCCTAAAATGTCAAGTAGTTAAGGTGGCAGCATATCACTACGGGGAATTTAAGGATGATTTCTTCGGTCCTACAGGGTTTTGTCTAACAATCTCCCGAACGGTTTCTCATAGAAAGTCCTCTTTGATAGATCGCCCATCTCTTTGTCTTACTCCACATTTCTCTATTGAATTTATGCAAAATAAAATAAAATAATAAGAATAACATTCAAATTTATCATTTACATTGTAGACCAATAAATGAATAGACTATCTAAAGTTAGAAATGAAATAAAGCTATATGAAAAATCAGCATAGATTAGAAACTCTACCTTTTACTGATTCCAAATGTTTCATTCAATACAAAGAAACATGGTTGTTCATACGCGTCAACAGCCTGATTTTCGATATGACAAAGTACAAAATTATCAAAATTTCCATATAATAAACAATAATATAAATGAATTAATATAATTTTACAATTTAATTTAATATATTTCCTATAATGTAATTATACCACTTTATTAGAGAGAGTAAAGTTCATAGCTACAATTTATTTATAAATTCTTAAAACTTCAATTACTGCATGTCCTTACTCTACGTATTTTTCCTTTATTGATTACTACACGTGCTTAATAACTAACGCTTGCACCTAAACACTCGCTTACTCTCCCACGTTTCCAGTTTTCTCTCCTTTGCTTTACATTAGCGGGACTTCCGTTAATTTAGCACCGGTCCGTTTAAATGAGGGTGCCTAGTGTCATGTCAGTAGCAACACGAGAAAATCACGTACTGTCGATTTGTTCAATGAATGCGTATCATAAGACACTTCCATTACTTCCTGTTGTTACTTATACAATCGGAGACTAGACATCAGTTAGGGTCCCATAAATTCAAAACTAGAAATAGGGATATTATGAGGTAGCATTGTGGTAAAATTTCATGGATATTCTGCATTAGGGAGGTGTTAGCTACTCTAGAAAATCAGTGGATAATAATATTAAGAATCCTCATTTAAATATAAGGCAATTTTAACAATATTACAAGACTCATACATTTATAAAACCATTAATATCGATAAAGTAACAATAAAATAACAAAATCCGTTAACCAGTAAAATAACCACACGCTTAGCTGTGGTATGATGTATTCTTGCAGCTTCTTGGACACGCATACCTGGTGTATGAAACAGTTACGTATTAAAAAGGATCTTAAGATATAAGCAAACAAACGGCAGATCACGCGTACATCCTCATTTCGAGGGATAAAGGGAGTGGTGATCAGCGACCGGCTTTCAGAGCTTACATGACTTTACTCAAAGACAGTATCGTACTTATTTCTTTTAATACCGTACGTTCCGTGAGAGCATTCGGCAATTTTCAAACAGGAATGCTCGCATCTTTTCATCTCGTCCTACTACTGTATTTCTTGGAATAAACAAAAGTAATGTGACTGGTGAATATATTGTATTTACAGATTACGTACTTAACTCATTCAAGAACTGCCTATCACACAAAACAATTGTTTTACATGTTTCAGCAACTCGAATTTCATAAAATACAACTGTACTTGGAATTGATTTTACTTTCCTATAACCACCGAACAAAATAAACAAATTGTGTGTATATATAATACAATTGCAGTCAGATATTTAAACAACAGCGAACGGTGAGTCTGAATTTTAACGGTTTGTTTAATTATAAATTCTATCATCTCGTATAAAATCGCTAAGAAACTAGACTTTAGATAATCTCATAGCTTATTTATACAAAAATTAATTCAAGTCCGTGGTAGATATCATAGGATATTAACTTTTAAGATGTCAAAAGTAAACATGAAGCTTGCAATTACATTTATTTTCGGCGTATTCCTGTTACGAGAATGCAATGGGCAGATCATCGTCAACACTAACACTGGAGAAGTCATGGGTAAAACAATTAATGTTTTAGGCAGGAAAGTTCATGCCTTTTTAAGTATTCCCTATGCGATTCCTCCGATCGGTCAATACAGATTTCATGTTTCTATGCTTAACTTATGGAAAATCGTTTACAATGCCACAGAAAAAACGCCCTCCTGCATGCAATGCCCATTGATACCGGAATTCCCGTGGGTTCCGGATTTAGAAAATATGAGCGAAGATTGCCTTTACCTGAATATTTGGGTTCCTGCCGAGAACAAACAACAATCTCCGTTATCGACAATGGTGTGGATTCACGGAGGTGGATACAACACGGGATCGTCGAATCTGGATGTCTACGACGGAGGGGTGATGGCGTCGTTAGGTAACGTCATAGTGGTATCTTTTAACTATCGGCTCGGTGCATTTGGATTTCTTTATTTGGAACCACTTTCGACTATTAGTAACAATGCACTGTTGGATCAATTACTCGCTCTCAAGTGGATCAAACACAACATAAGAGCATTCGGAGGTAATAGTAAGGATATCACATTATTTGGACAAGATGCGGGAGCGTGGTCGATAGGTTATCATCTACTTTCTCCTCTATCTCGCGGACACTTCAAAAGAGCAATAATGCAAAGTGGAAGCATTTATCATCCTTATTTAACTACAGATGTAGATGATAGCTTATGCATGAGTTTAAAACTAGCAGGCTCGCTTAATTGTGCTAAAAACTATGATGGTACAATTAAACCTTACAGAAACATAGTTGCGTGTATGAAAGAAAAAGAAGCGTTAGATATAAGTTTTGCTGAAAAAAAAATCTTGTTTGAGAAGTATCACTTTCTAGACTTGCTTCCGCAATATGGAAGAAGTTTTTTACCCAGCAATCCGATTGATAGTTTCGACTCCATCAAGTTTAGCGATGTAGATGTCATGTTAGGTAATGTAGCAGACGAAGGATCGCTGTTTCTTGCGCTATATAACAAAAAACTTATACAAGAAAGGAACCCGAGAATGACGAAGCACGAGGCTATAAAATACTTTGAAAAAAGTACTGGATATGATCAAACTACACTCGAACCCATCATAAAACAGTATTTCGAAAATGTTCGCGACGGTGACTTTCCAACGATTATTAAACGAACTCATCAGGCGATAGGCGATTCGACGTTCAAGTGTCCTACAAATTTCCTGGCAGAGAAGCTTGCAGAAAAGAGATTCAACGTGTTTCATTACACTTTTAAGCACAGAAGCGGCAAAAATATATACCCAAAATGGACCGGGGTACCTCATTTCGAAGAAGTTCAATTCGTATTCGGTGTTCCTCTATTGAAAACAAACGAATACACCGTCGAAGAACAAGAATTCAGTAGAAATCTCATCGAACTTTGGACTTCGTTCGCTAAAACTGGGTAAGATGGCAACTAAATTACCTTGAATTTGCATAATTTATAAAGAATAGCTGTAAAATACATTTATAATGTTAATATTTGTAAATTTTTTGTTTCAGGACTCCACATGTTGATAACTTGGAAAGATGGCTTCCGTACACTAATCGAAAGCCGATTTCTATGAACTTGCAACCGAAAAACATAAAACTCACAAAGTCAATTCCGAACGAACACTGTGAATTTTGGAAAACTTTTTTTCACGTATAATTATAGTAATTGAGGGGTTAAGTGGAAAAATGGCATATACTACACCAGAAAACTTTTTAGATAAAGGACGATTTGTATTTTAATTCGCCACATTTTAATATGCATCGCTTTGTCAATACGGATGTAGAACATGGAGGACATGCAACTGAACCATAAAAGTTATTTAGAAAATGGATTAATTAATGATGCATAAATCCATATTTGTTAGTAACTCATATTTTTGTAGTTTTGTGTGATTTGCCGTTTTCCACTCAGCCCCTTAATTGCAATTGCAAAATTTACATTTCTTGTACGTCTTTAGCAACTTCGGAGACTGGTAAATGTAGTTTGTGTATTTTAAAATAAAATCGAATTAATCAGACCATTTGTATGCGTTTCTTTTAAGATTATGTGAAGTACGATATCATTTAATTTCTGCCTACTTTGTAATGGTTTATTTCCTAAAATGTCAAGTAGTTAAGGTGGCAGCATATCACTACGGGGAATTTAAGGATGATTTCTTCGGTCCTACAGGGTTTTGTCTAACAATCTCCCGAACGGTTTCTCATAGAAAGTCCTCTTTGATAGATCGCCCATCTCTTTGTCTTACTCCACATTTCTCTATTGAATTTATGCAAAATAAAATAAAATAATAAGAATAACATTCAAATTTATCATTTACATTGTAGACCAATAAATGAATAGACTATCTAAAGTTAGAAATGAAATAAAGCTATATGAAAAATCAGCATAGATTAGAAACTCTACCTTTTACTGATTCCAAATGTTTCATTCAATACAAAGAAACATGGTTGTTCATACGCGTCAACAGCCTGATTTTCGATATGACAAAGTACAAAATTATCAAAATTTCCATATAATAAACAATAATATAAATGAATTAATATAATTTTACAATTTAATTTAATATATTTCCTATAATGTAATTATACCACTTTATTAGAGAGAGTAAAGTTCATAGCTACAATTTATTTATAAATTCTTAAAACTTCAATTACTGCATGTCCTTACTCTACGTATTTTTCCTTTATTGATTACTACACGTGCTTAATAACTAACGCTTGCACCTAAACACTCGCTTACTCTCCCACGTTTCCAGTTTTCTCTCCTTTGCTTTACATTAGCGGGACTTCCGTTAATTTAGCACCGGTCCGTTTAAATGAGGGTGCCTAGTGTCATGTCAGCAGCAACACGAGAAAATCACGTACTGTCGATTTGTTCAATGAATGCGTATCATAAGACACTTCCATTACTTCCTGTTGTTACTTATACAATCGGAGACTAGACATCAGTTAGGGTCCCATAAATTCAAAACTAGAAATAGGGATATTATGAGGTAGCATTGTGGTAAAATTTCATGGATATTCTGCATTAGGGAGGTGTTAGCTACTCTAGAAAATCAGTGGATAATAATATTAAGAATCCTCATTTAAATATAAGGCAATTTTAACAATATTACAAGACTCATACATTTATAAAACCATTAATATCGATAAAGTAACAATAAAATAACAAAATCCGTTAACCAGTAAAATAACCACACGCTTAGCTGTGGTATGATGTATTCTTGCAGCTTCTTGGACACGCATACCTGGTGTATGAAACAGTTACGTATTAAAAAGGATCTTAAGATATAAGCAAACAAACGGCAGATCACGCGTACATCCTCATTTCGAGGGATAAAGGGAGTGGTGATCAGCGACCGGCTTTCAGAGCTTACATGACTTTACTCAAAGACAGTATCGTACTTATTTCTTTTAATACCGTACGTTCCGTGAGAGCATTCGGCAATTTTCAAACAGGAATGCTCGCATCTTTTCATCTCGTCCTACTACTGTATTTCTTGGAATAAACAAAAGTAATGTGACTGGTGAATATATTGTATTTACAGATTACGTACTTAACTCATTCAAGAACTGCCTATCACACAAAACAATTGTTTTACATGTTTCAGCAACTCGAATTTCATAAAATACAACTGTACTTGGAATTGATTTTACTTTCCTATAACCACCGAACAAAATAAACAAATTGTGTGTATATATAATACAATTGCAGTCAGATATTTAAACAACAGCGAACGGTGAGTCTGAATTTTAACGGTTTGTTTAATTATAAATTCTATCATCTCGTATAAAATCGCTAAGAAACTAGACTTTAGATAATCTCATAGCTTATTTATACAAAAATTAATTCAAGTCCGTGGTAGATATCATAGGATATTAACTTTTAAGATGTCAAAAGTAAACATGAAGCTTGCAATTACATTTATTTTCGGCGTATTCCTGTTACGAGAATGCAATGGGCAGATCATCGTCAACACTAACACTGGAGAAGTCATGGGTAAAACAATTAATGTTTTAGGCAGGAAAGTTCATGCCTTTTTAAGTATTCCCTATGCGATTCCTCCGATCGGTCAATACAGATTTCATGTTTCTATGCTTAACTTATGGAAAATCGTTTACAATGCCACAGAAAAAACGCCCTCCTGCATGCAATGCCCATTGATACCGGAATTCCCGTGGGTTCCGGATTTAGAAAATATGAGCGAAGATTGCCTTTACCTGAATATTTGGGTTCCTGCCGAGAACAAACAACAATCTCCGTTATCGACAATGGTGTGGATTCACGGAGGTGGATACAACACGGGATCGTCGAATCTGGATGTCTACGACGGAGGGGTGATGGCGTCGTTAGGTAACGTCATAGTGGTATCTTTTAACTATCGGCTCGGTGCATTTGGATTTCTTTATTTGGAACCACTTTCGACTATTAGTAACAATGCACTGTTGGATCAATTACTCGCTCTCAAGTGGATCAAACACAACATAAGAGCATTCGGAGGTAATAGTAAGGATATCACATTATTTGGACAAGATGCGGGAGCGTGGTCGATAGGTTATCATCTACTTTCTCCTCTATCTCGCGGACACTTCAAAAGAGCAATAATGCAAAGTGGAAGCATTTATCATCCTTATTTAACTACAGATGTAGATGATAGCTTATGCATGAGTTTAAAACTAGCAGGCTCGCTTAATTGTGCTAAAAACTATGATGGTACAATTAAACCTTACAGAAACATAGTTGCGTGTATGAAAGAAAAAGAAGCGTTAGATATAAGTTTTGCTGAAAAAAAAATCTTGTTTGAGAAGTATCACTTTCTAGACTTGCTTCCGCAATATGGAAGAAGTTTTTTACCCAGCAATCCGATTGATAGTTTCGACTCCATCAAGTTTAGCGATGTAGATGTCATGTTAGGTAATGTAGCAGACGAAGGATCGCTGTTTCTTGCGCTATATAACAAAAAACTTATACAAGAAAGGAACCCGAGAATGACGAAGCACGAGGCTATAAAATACTTTGAAAAAAGTACTGGATATGATCAAACTACACTCGAACCCATCATAAAACAGTATTTCGAAAATGTTCGCGACGGTGACTTTCCAACGATTATTAAACGAACTCATCAGGCGATAGGCGATTCGACGTTCAAGTGTCCTACAAATTTCCTGGCAGAGAAGCTTGCAGAAAAGAGATTCAACGTGTTTCATTACACTTTTAAGCACAGAAGCGGCAAAAATATATACCCAAAATGGACCGGGGTACCTCATTTCGAAGAAGTTCAATTCGTATTTGGTGTTCCTCTATTGAAAACAAACGAATACACCGTCGAAGAACAAGAATTCAGTAGAAATCTCATCGAACTTTGGACTTCGTTCGCTAAAACTGGGTAAGGTGGCAACTAAATTACCTTGAATTTGCATAATTTATAAAGAATAGCTGTAAAATACATTTATAACGTTAATATTTGTAAATTTTTTGTTTCAGGACTCCACATGTTGATAACTTGGAAAGATGGCTTCCGTACACTAATCGAAAGCCGATTTCTATGAACTTGCAACCGAAAAACATAAAACTCACAAAGTCAATTCCGAACGAACACTGTGAATTTTGGAAAACTTTTTTTCACGTATAATTATAGTAATTGAGGGGTTAAGTGGAAAAATGGCATATACTACACCAGAAAACTTTTTAGATAAAGGACGATTTGTATTTTAATTCGCCACATTTTAATATGCATCGCTTTGTCAATACGGATGTAGAACATGGAGGACATGCAACTGAACCATAAAAGTTATTTAGAAAATGGATTAATTAATGATGCATAAATCCATATTTGTTAGTAACTCATATTTTTGTAGTTTTGTGTGATTTGCCGTTTTCCACTCAGCCCCTTAATTGCAATTGCAAAATTTACATTTCTTGTACGTCTTTAGCAACTTCGGAGACTGGTAAATGTAGTTTGTGTATTTTAAAATAAAATCGAATTAATCAGACCATTTGTATGCGTTTCTTTTAAGATTATGTGAAGTACGATATCATTTAATTTCTGCCTACTTTGTAATGGTTTATTTCCTAAAATGTCAAGTAGTTAAGGTGGCAGCATATCACTACGGGGAATTTAGGGATGATTTCTTCGGTCCTACAGGGTTTTGTCTAACAATCTCCCGAACGGTTTCTCATAGAAAGTCCTCTTTGATAGATCGCCCATCTCTTTGTCTTACTCCACATTTCTCTATTGAATTTATGCAAAATAAAATAAAATAACAAGAATAACATTCAAATTTATCATTTACATTCTAGACCAATAAATGAATAGACTATCTAAAGTTAGAAATAAAATAAAACGTTTCCAGTTTTCTCTCCTTTGCTTTATATTAGCGGGACTTCTGTTAGTGTAGCACCGGTCCGTTTAAATGAGATTGGCTAGTGTCATGTCAGTAGCGACACGAGAAAATCACGTACTGTCGATTTGTTCAATGAATGCGTATCTTATGACACTTCCAAGATTTCCTGTTGTTACTTATACAATCAAAGACTAGACACCAGTTAGGGTCCCATAAATTCAAAACTAGAAATAGGGATATTATGAGGTAGCATTGTGGTGAAAATTCATGGATATTTGGCATTAGATGGGTGGTAGCTACTCTAGAAAATTAGTGAATAATAATATTAAGAATCCTCATTTAAATATAAGGCAATTTTAACAATATTACAAGACTCATACATTTATAAAACCATTAATATCATTAAAGTATCAATAAAATTATAAAAACCGTTGACCAGTAAAATAACCGCACGTTTAGCTGTGGTATGATGTATTCTTGCAGCTTCTTGGACACGCATATATTAAACAATTACGTATTAAAAAGGATCTTAATTAAATTAATATATATGCAAACAAACGGCAGATCACTTATTTCGAGGGATAAAAGGAGTGATTAGAGATCGGCTTTCAGAGGTTACATGACCTTGCTCAAAGGCAGTATCGTACTAATTTTTTTTAATACCGTACGTCCCGTGAAACCATTCGGCAATTTTCAAGCAGGAATGTTCGCATCTTTTCATCTCGTCCTCCAACTGTATTTCTTGTAATAAACAAAAGTAATGTGACTGATGAATATATTGTATTTTACATATTACAGTCGACCCTCCTATAACACTGTTGATAATTCCGTTTTATATGAATTCCATGCTGTACGAGTCACTTAGATNAAAGGATCTTAAGATATAAGCAAACAAACGGCAGATCACGCGTACATCCTTATTTCGAGGGATAAAGGAAGTGATTAGCGACCGACTTTCAGAGGTTCCATGACCTTACTCAAAGGAAGTATCGTACTTATTTCTTTTAATGAGCATTCGGCAATTTTCAAACAGGAATATTCGCATCTTTTCATCTCGTCCTCCTACTGTATTTCTTGGAATAAGCAAAAGTAATGTGACTGGTGAATATATTGTATTTACAGATTACGTACTTAACTCATTCAAGAACTGCCTATCACACAAAACAATTGTTTTACATGTTTCAGCAACTCGAATTTCATAAAATACAACTGTACTTGGAATTGATTTTACTTTCCTATAACCACCGAACAAAATAAACAAATTGTGTGTATATATAATACAATTGCAGTCAGATATTTAAACAACAGCGAACGGTGAGTCTGAATTTTAACGGTTTGTTTAATTATAAATTCTATCATCTCGTATAAAATCGCTAAGAAACTAGACTTTAGATAATCTCATAGCTTATTTATACAAAAATTAATTCAAGTCCGTGGTAGATATCATAGAATATTAACTTTTAAGATGTCAAAAGTAAACATGAAGCTTGCAATTACATTTATTTTCGGCGTATTCCTGTTACGAGAATGCAATGGGCAGATCATCGTCAACACTAACACTGGAGAAGTCATGGGTAAAACAATTAATGTTTTAGGCAGGAAAGTTCATGCCTTTTTAAGTATTCCCTATGCGATTCCTCCGATCGGTCAATACAGATTTCATGTTTCTATGCTTAACTTATGGAAAATCGTTTACAATGCCACAGAAAAAACGCCCTCCTGCATGCAATGCCCATTGATACCGGAATTCCCGTGGGTTCCGGATTTAGAAAATATGAGCGAAGATTGCCTTTACCTGAATATTTGGGTTCCTGCCGAGAACAAACAACAATCTCCGTTATCGACAATGGTGTGGATTCACGGAGGTGGATACAACACGGGATCGTCGAATCTGGATGTCTACGACGGAGGGGTGATNAAAAAAAGACCCGCTGCAATGTGTAAAAAGTCTGTATCTGTATGAATGTGTAAAGAAAGTATTCTTCCACCTCCCCCTCACAACATCTGACTACCCGGCATAATTGGTGTCTGCTCCATTTTCACTTTTTTTATGGTACAGTACGGTTATTTTATGCTGCGGAACGAATTATATGTTTTAACACGTATTTCTATGGGAAAATGCGTTTCGTATAACGGACGTTTCACTTAACGGACGTGTACCTGGAACGGATTAAGTACGTTGTACGAGGCACCACTGGTACTTCGAATTTAGTTCATTCTAGCAGGCCTTTCGAACTCCGAATCACTTTGTTTTCATTACAAATAACGGAAAGTGAATTAATCCATTTCCAGACTCTTACCAGTACCATTTTTGATAACTTAAACCAAGAAATACACATAATTTAAGTTTAAAATAACACAGTTAAATGCTCGAAATAATAAAATAAAACAATAAATAAAATACGTAAATACTATTTAATAACATAAATATTGCATTTACTACTCGCGCACCGTCGTGTTCTTAAATATGGCCGCCATATCTTCCACACGTACAGCACTTTCACGCTTCGCAAAAAACCCCTTTATCATTAGTCCAAGATGCTACAACTTTCCTCCTGGACTTCGTTGCATTCACACAATTCTCGGATGCCATGGCTAATACGTTTGTTTGTTTAGTTATGGCAACGCAACACTTGGGCGATCTGCCTAGGGGGAAACTTTCCGAGAGGTATTTTTAGGGGAAACTGGCCCCTATTTAGGCGTTACAGACGTACAGAAAACCCGAAAAACTCCAATTGACCAGCCCGTCCGAGCGAGGCGCGAACCCACGACCAAACTTCCAGTGTTCAGGGTACGAAGACAGATTGGCCATTGGAACTAAGAAAAATAGATGAACTTGTTAAGCTTTTACCAGCAATTATTTATTGTAACACCGTCACAATTCCGGGCTGCAATATACATATTTTTAATCTATTTCATTTAAAATATATGCTTTCCACCTCAAATTAGCAGTGGCTTGCCCCTGCACATCATACTTTTCCGTTAACAATGGAGTCGTGCAGGTGATCTATCTAACTGGTTTCATGAAAAATTTTTGAATTGACAAATTGCAGACTAATAACTGATGAATTTTGGCACAGATAATTTCTAAATATATTTTTATTTCCACTAATAAAATAGACACCTGAATAATTTCGAAACCATTTGTTTTATTTTCTATTATCAGTCTTACATTTTTTAATACTTAAATTTCAATAATAAAATATACAGCAACGAGTTGCGTAACGTTCCCGGCTGCTATGAAATTTTATTTAGAAAATGACATTTATATTTTTAAAGTATAACATCTTCATTAAATAAACTCTTAAAACAAATTAGCACAAAAGAGCTGCCAACATTATCAGTCGAACCCCCTATAACACTGTTGATAATTCCATTTTATATGAATTCCGTGTTGTACGAGTCACTTAGATTTTACAAATACGTGAGTCGTTCATAGCCCGGCACACGTATTTGTAAAATCTAAGTGACTCGTACAACGTGGAATTCATATAATACGGAATAATCAACAGTGTTATAGGGGGGTCGAATTGTACTAGAAGTAGAGAGTAGCAAAGTGCAATGAGCAGGAATCTCTTCAGGGATGGCTTTCCTCAATTTGGATCTGAATAGGATTTAGTAATTTTGGATGAATTTATGATGAATACGGTATTTAAGTTATTTTATTAAGCTTATTCAAGCTGAAATGATTCAGCTTTAAACATTGTAGCAACTCGAATTTCACAAAAATGCAACTGTACTTAGAATTGATTTTACTTCTCTATAAACAAAGAATAAAAGTAAACAAATTCAACGTATATATATATATATAACGAAATTCGAGTTATATATTTATACAAGAGCGAACGGTGAGTCTGAATCCTATCGCCTTCCATTACTTCGTATAAATCTTTATAATATTGTTAACGGTTTAGAATTTAGAATCCTCATTGCTTAATTCTATAAAAGTTAATGTAAGTATCGTTGAAAATTAATTTTTAAGATTTCGGAAATAAATATGAAGCTTGAGATTGCATTTATTTATGGAATATTCTTGTTAAAAGAATGTGATCACTAAAGCTTAAAAAGTCATAGGTAAAACAATTAATGTCTTAGGTAGGGATTTTAATGCCTTTTTAAGTATTCCATATGCGATTCCACCGATCAGTCAATACAGATTTTATTCTTCTTTGCCTAACGTATGGAAAATCGTTTACAATGCCACAGAAAAACCGTCCTCCTGCGTGCAATGCCCATTGATACCGGAATTCCTATGGATTTCGGATTTAGAAAATATGCGCGAAGATTGCCTTTACCTCAATATTTGGGTTCCGGCAGAGAACAAAGAACAATCTCCGTTATCGACAATGGTGTGGATACAATTCACGGAGGGAGATACAACGCGGGATGGTCGAATCTAGATTTCTACGACAGAGGGGTTAGGTAACGTCACAGTGGTATCATTTAGCAATGTAGATGTAATGTTAAGTAACGTAGCAAACGAAAGATCACTATTTCTTGCGCTTTATATCGAAAAACTTTTACTTTCCACTAACCCGATAATTACAAAGCATAATGTCACAGAATTCTTTGAACCTGTTATGGAATATAATCGAACTTTACTAGAACCCATCATAAAACAGTATTTCGGAAATGTTCCCGATGACGACTTTTCAACGAACTCATCAGGCGATAGGCGATTCGATGTTCAAGTGTCCTACAAATTTCCTAGCAGAGAAGCTTGCAGAAAAGAAATTCAACGTGTTTCATTACACTTTTAAGCACAGAAGCGGCACAAATATATACCCAAAATGGACCGGAGTACCTCATTTCGAAGAAGTTCAATTCGTATTTGGTGTTCCTCTATTGAAAACAAACGAATACACCGTCGAAGAACAAGAATTCAGTAGAAATCTCATCGAACTTTGGACTTCGTTCGCTAAAACTGGGTAAGGTTGCAACTAAATTANAAACTAACGGCTTGTATATAAATATATCATGAAATTCGAGTTAATTATTTATGCAAGAGCAAACGATGGTGAGTCTGAATAGTATCGAATTTACGTAATTATAAATTCTGTCGCTTCATCCATAAGGGTTTAAAATTTAGAAATTTTCATAGGTTATTTATGTAAAAGTTGATTTAAGTTCTTCGTAAATATCGAGAAAAATTGTTTTTTTTTTAACATTTCAGAATTAAACATGAAGCTTACGATTGCATTTATTTTTGACATTTTCCTGTTAATAGAATGCAATAGGCAGATTATCGTCAGCACTAAAACTGGAAAAGTCATGGGTAAAACAATTAATATTTTAGGCAGAGATGTTCATGCCTTTTTAAGTATTCCCTATGCGATTCCTCCGATCGGTCAATACAGATTTTATTCTTCTCTGCCTAAAGTATGGAAAATCGTTTACAATGCCACAGAAAAACCGCCCTCCTGCGTGCAATGCCCATTGATACCGGAATTCCCATGGGTTCCAGATTTAGAAAATATGAGCGAAGATTGCCTTTACATGAATATTTGGGTTCCTGCCGAGAACAAAGAACAATCTCCGTTATCGACAATGGTGTGGATTCACGGAGGAGGATACAATACGGGATCGTCGAATCTGGATGTCTACGACGGAGGGGTGATGGCGTCGTTAGGTAACGTCATAGTGGTATCTTTTAACTATCGGCTAGGTCCGTTTGGATTTCTTTATTTTGATCCACGTTTGACTAATAATAACGATGCACTGAGGGATCAATTACTCGCTCTCAAATGGATCAAACACAACATAGAAGCATTCGGAGGTAATAGTAAGGATATCACATTATTTGGACAAGATGCGGGAGCGTGGTCGATAGGTTATCATCTAATTTCTCCTCTATCTCGCGGACACTTCAAAAGGGCAATAATGCAAAGTGGAAGCATTTATCATCCTGCTTTAACTACAGATGTAGATAATAGTTTATGCATGAGTTTAAAAATAGCAGGTTTGCTTGATTGTGCTGAAAGCAATGATGGTGCAATTAAACCTTACAGAAACATAATTGAGTGTATGAAAGAAAAAGAAGCATCAGATATAAGTTTTGCTGAAAAAAAAATCTTGTTTGAGAAGTATCACTTTCTAGACTTGCTTCCGCAATATGGAAGAAGTTTTTTACCCAGCAATCCGATTGATAGTTTCGACTCCATCAAGTTTAACGATGTAGATGTCATGTTAGGTAATGTAGCAGACGAAGGATCGCTGTTTCTTGCGCTATATAACAAAAAACTTATACAACAAAGGAACCCGAGAATGACGAAGCACGAGGTTGTAAAATTCTTTGGAGACAGTACTGGATATGATCAAGCTGCACTCCAACCCATCATAAAACAGTATTTCGAAAATGTTCCTGACGGTGACTTTCCAACGATTATTAAACGAACACATCAGGTGATAAGCGATTCGATGTTCAAGTGTCCTACAAATTTCCTGGCAGAGAAGCTTGCAGAAAAGAAATTCAACGTATTTCATTACACTTTCAAGCACAGAAGCAGCACAAATATATACCCAAGATGGACCGGGGTACCTCATTTCGAAGAAGTTCAATTCGTATTTGGTGTTCCTCTATTGAAAACAAACGAATACACCGTCGAAGAACAAGAATTCAGTAGAAATCTCATCGAACTTTGGACTTCGTTCGCTAAAACTGGGTAAGGCGGCAACTAAATTACCTTGAATTTNTATATATATATATATAACGAAATTCGAGTTATATATTTATACAAGAGCGAACGGTGAGTCTGAATCCTATCGCCTTCCATTACTTCGTATAAATCTTTATAATATTGTTAACGGTTTAGAATTTAGAATCCTCATTGCTTAATTCTATAAAAGTTAATGTAAGTATCGTTGAAAATTAATTTTTAAGATTTCGGAAATAAATATGAAGCTTGAGATTGCATTTATTTATGGAATATTCTTGTTAAAAGAATGTGATCACTAAAGCTTAAAAAGTCATAGGTAAAACAATTAATGTCTTAGGTAGGGATTTTAATGCCTTTTTAAGTATTCCATATGCGATTCCACCGATCAGTCAATACAGATTTTATTCTTCTTTGCCTAACGTATGGAAAATCGTTTACAATGCCACAGAAAAACCGTCCTCCTGCGTGCAATGCCCATTGATACCGGAATTCCTATGGATTTCGGATTTAGAAAATATGCGCGAAGATTGCCTTTACCTCAATATTTGGGTTCCGGCAGAGAACAAAGAACAATCTCCGTTATCGACAATGGTGTGGATACAATTCACGGAGGGAGATACAACGCGGGATGGTCGAATCTAGATTTCTACGACAGAGGGGTTAGGTAACGTCACAGTGGTATCATTTAGCAATGTAGATGTAATGTTAAGTAACGTAGCAAACGAAAGATCACTATTTCTTGCGCTTTATATCGAAAAACTTTTACTTTCCACTAACCCGATAATTACAAAGCATAATGTCACAGAATTCTTTGAACCTGTTATGGAATATAATCGAACTTTACTAGAACCCATCATAAAACAGTATTTCGGAAATGTTCCCGATGACGACTTTTCAACGAACTCATCAGGCGATAGGCGATTCGATGTTCAAGTGTCCTACAAATTTCCTGGCAGAGAAGCTTGCAGAAAAGAAATTCAACGTGTTTCATTACACTTTTAAGCACAGAAGCGGCACAAATATATACCCAAAATGGACCGGAGTACCTCATTTCGAAGAAGTTCAATTCGTATTTGGTGTTCCTCTATTGAAAACAAACGAATACACCGTCGAAGAACAAGAATTCAGTAGAAATCTCATCGAACTTTGGACTTCGTTCGCTAAAACTGGGTAAGGTTGCAACTAAATTACCACGAATTTGCATAATTTATAAAGAATAGCTGTAAAATACATTTATAACGTTAATATTTGTTGCAAATTTTCTATTTCAGGACTTCACATCTTACTAGTAATTTGGAAATATGGCTTTCGTTTACTGAACAAGAACCGAATTCTATAGAATTGCAACCGAGAAACATAAAAGCTACAAAGTTACATTCAAATGAATATTGTGAATTTTGGAGTACAGTACTGATGTTTGGAGAGAATTATTATTATAATTGCAATATTCATATTTTTTGTACGTCTTTAACAACATTATAAACTGTTGTCGAAAAATGTATTTCCTGAATTTTAAATTAAAGTTGAAATATCAAACTACACGGGGACTAATAGGCCTTAAGCCATGGGACCCAAGTATCTGGGCCTAAAAAAATATTGAATTATCATCTTAAATTTTTAATACTTTTTCATTAACAATGAGCACTTATCGTATAGTAAAAATTAACTAATATTAATGATAATAGTGATGACGATAATTTATAGTATTATTTGTATTAACTAAAAATGGGGCCCCATTTGAGTTCAATAAGCACTAGGCCCCAAAAAACCTAGGGCACTACTACGTTCAATTTCATATCGTATCACGAATACGTATACGATGCCACGCGTTGAACCACACATCATAGCTTACTATTTGATCTTAGAAGCACGTTTACATAGAATAATTCTTTTTGTATTACTCTTTGAAGAATTATTTGAAACTCTGCGGAATTAGTTTTCGTGAAGTTCTATCACCAAATACATGCTAGGTCGTTCTACACGTGTAGTCACAAAAGTTTGGTTCACATTATGCGTTTCTACGTTGTGTCGTAGTGCCTTTTGATTATCAGACAGTGTTTTCGTGCTGCATGTGTATTCTTTCTGTGCTTGAATAAATATTGCAATCCAACAACATTGCAACGCTCAAATAATGTCACTATTATAGACACGTGTGCCAGACATATGTGATCAATGCAACGAGGAATGAAAAACTTTGTTCATAAGGTATAGTTGGTAGAGATATCCATAGTATGATTTATCTTTAAAGAAAGTCTCAAGCGTCAGTTATTTGGTTTATTGGCAATATGGTTCTGCAGAAATGTGGTCATCTTCTCTAAGATCGTCTTTGTTCTATGTGCTGGCGTGTTGTCGCGGTGGTTTCGGACTTTGTCAATTTTTGAAATGTATAGGAACACTCGAGTTGTGCTAATACTGTGGTAGGCAACCGTGAATTTCCGTCTATCGGTTGAGGAAGAACGTTATCATCAAACGTTCGTCACAGAATAAGTACAGTAATGAAAAATTTCGTGCTCATTTCAATCGGTCCGAATCGTAGNAGAATTCAGTAGAAATCTCATCGAACTTTGGACTTCGTTCGCTAAAACTGGGTAAGGCGGCAACTAAATTACCTTGAATTTGCATAATTTATAAAAAATAGCTGTAAAATACATTTATAACGTTAATATTTGTAAATTTTTTGTTTCAGGACTCCACATGTTGATAACTTGGAAAGATGGCTTCCGTACGCTAATCAAAAACCGAATTCTATAAACTTGCAACCGAAAAACATAAAACTCACAAAGTCAATTCCGAACGAACACTGTGAATTTTGGAAAACTCATTTTGACGTATAATTATAGTAATTGAGGAGTTAAATGGAAAAATGGCATACACTACACTAGAAAGCTTTTTAGATAAAGAACGATTTGTATTTTAATTCGCCACATTTTAATATGCATCGCTTTGTCAATATGGATGTATAACGTGGAGGGCATGCAACTGAACCATCAAAGTTATTTAGAAAATAGATTAATTAATGATGCATAAATCCATATTTGTTAGTAACTCATATTTTTGTAGTTTTGTGTGATTTGCCGTTTTCCACTCAGCCCCTTGATTGTAATTGCAATTGCAAAATTTACATTTCTTGTACGTCTTTAGCAACTTCGAGGACTGTTGTTGGTAAATGTAGTTTGTGTATTTTAAAATAAAACCGAATTAATCAGACCATTTGTATGCGTTTCTTTTAAGATTACGTGAAGTACGATATCATTTAATTTCTGTCTACTTTCTAATGGTTTATTTCCTAAAATGTAAAGTGGTTAAGGTGTCAGCCTATCACTACGGGGGATTTAGGGATGATTTCCTGGGTTCCACAGGATTTTGTCTAATAATTTTCCGACAGTTTCTCGTAGAAAGTCCTCTTTGATAGATCGCCCATCTCTTTGTCTTACTCCACATTTCTCTATTGAATTTATGCAAAATAAAATAAAATAATAACATTCACATTTATTATTTACCTTCTAGACCAGGGGTCACCAAACTTTTTAACCGTCGACCCCCAACCGACCTTCTACGGCCCACCGTAAAGTTTTATTACAAGTGTATGTGTATGAGCAAAAAAAAAGGTTGTGACCACTTAGCAGCATCGACCCCTCAATCGACTCCCTAGCCGCATCGACCCCTGGGGGTCGATATCGACCACTTTGGCGACTCCTGTTCTAGACCAAGTATTGAATAGACTATCTAAAGTTAGAAATGAAATAAAGCTATATGAAAAATCAGCATAGATTAGAAACTCTACCTTTTACTGATTCCAAATGTTTCATTCAATACAAAGAAACATGGTTGTTCATACGTGTCAATAGCCTGATTTTCGATATGACAAAGTACANAATTTTAAATAATTTGAGAAATTTTAAGCGTTTAAAAATATTACGCCGTCTGCCGGTAAACGTGATAATTAATATAGTCCTCCCCTTTCCAAGATGGCGTAATTCGTTAGAACGTGACAAGCGCTTTAAGATTATGGCGTTTTTGCAGTGGAGAAGATTTAGTTTTTTCGATAAAGAAGTAGTTAAAGATCCAGAAACTAATCAACCTTTCGATAAGTTGAAGGATCTGCACATTACATGCAGCACGAATGGACGTGGAAACGTCGTTTTGGGTGATGTGGAAGGCAATTTACATTTCCTTAATCGACAGTTTCAACTTTCTTCGTTTAAAGCCTTCGAATTGAATGTTTCTCACATTCAGCAGCTTAGACATAATGGTATTCTAGTGTCGGTCGGTTCTGACGAACCTGGTATTAACCCTTTAATTAAAATATGGAATTTGGAGAAGACAGACCGAACCGGGAAGCCAGCTTGCTTGAGAACGATCAGAATTCAAGTAGGAAGCACACCTGTACCTGTCACTGCATTGGCTGTACACGAGAACCATCGTCTTTGTTCTATGTGCTGGCGTGTTGTCGCGGTGGTTTCGGACTTTGTCAATATTTGAAATGTATAGGAACACTCGAGTTGTGCTAATACTGTGGTAGGCAACCGTGAATTTCCGTCTATCGGTTGAGGAAGAACGTTATCATCAAACGTTCGTCACAGAATAAGTACAGTAATGAAAAATTTCGTGCTCATTTCAATCGGTCCGAATCGTAGCTGCGACAAAAATATGAAATAAAATGGTTCAAATTTTTACAAGATATTATTACTATTTATTGTGAAATTTTTCCGCCCCTGCCGCCCCCACCACGCTACGCCACTGCCAGGACGGGTTGGTCACGTGGAGTTTTCGGATTTTCTCCACGTCTGTAACACCTGAATAGAGGCCAGTTACCATTTAAAAGACCTCTTGGAAGGCATCATCCTAGGCAGATCGCCAAGTGTTGCGTTGCCATAACTTAACTAACAAACAAATTTTATCCATGTCCATAAGTTTAAGGACACGCCACCGGCCCAACGAGTCAGTCCGGTCTTGTGTCCGTTCCAGATATTCTCGTACGATACCTCTACGACCCGGAGACAAGCTTTCTCAATGTCTATTTCAGTTTCTGGCTCCACATCTCGCAACATTCTTTTTCATTTCTTCTCACTTTTATCTTCCTCTTCATCTTGGTTTATTCATTTTCAAGCTATAAAACGCTTTTGTCAGTCTATCACCCGCTCACCTCCCATCAAATTCTTTGAACACATAACATTGAAACGTTAAAACAGTGTTTCTCNAGACCGAACCGGGAAGCCAGCTTGCTTGAGAACGATCAGAATTCAAGTAGGAAGCACACCTGTACCTGTCACTGCATTGGCTGTACACGAGAACCTCAATCTCATGGCGGTGGGCCTCGACCAAGGCAGAATAATTATATTCAAAGGTGACATAACACGAGAGCGGCAGTGCAAGCAGAAGGAAATTCCTATCGGAACGGATTCTGTGACCGGCTTGGCTTTCAGGAAGATCCACTCGAATAAACTTGTCTATTTGTTTGTCAGTACGACCGACGAAGTCTTCTCCGTCGATTTGACGGATAAGAATAACGAAAAAATAAAACTCCTAGACGGCCATGGTTGTCGTCCTAAATGTTCCGTGATGAGCGATGCCAAGAAAAATTGCGACGATCAGTTTGTAGTCGGGAGAAATGATGCTATTTATTTTTATCAACCCGACGAAAGAGGTCCGTGTTTTGCGTTCGAGGGAGAGAAGGTGATCCTGCATTGGTTTCGTGGAAATTTGGTGGTCGTCGGAAAAGATAATAAGGCCATTCCGAGTCTGTCCTCGTCCGGATCGTCCGTCGAGATGAGTATAGTTACGGTGTACGATATTCAAAACAAATTCATTGCTTATTCGGCGCCGTTTTCCGGCATTGTTAATATTGTGTCGGAATGGGGAATGTTATTTATACTAAATCAAGATGGAAAGTTGTTTAGTCTTCAGGAAAAAGATACCCAAAGTAAATTAGAAATGCTGTTTAAGAAGAATCAGTATAGTTTGGCAATTAGTTTAGCAAAGAGCCAAAATTATGATGACGAAGGTCTTGTCGATATATTCCGACAGTACGGGGACCACTTGTACAGTAAAGGCGATCACGATGGAGCTATAGTTCAGTATATCAAAACTATTGGAAAGCTAGAAGCGTCTTACGTGATTAGGAAATTTCTTGATGCTCAAAGAATACATAATCTTACAGCATATTTGCAAGCATTACATAAGAAAGGATTGGCAAATGAGGATCATACAACACTTCTGTTGAATTGTTACACAAAATTAAAGGATATAGATAAATTGGATGAATTTATTAAGACAGAAAAGGTAGATTTTGATGTAGAAATTGCAATTAAAGTGTGTCGACAAGCTGGATATTTTACGCATGCTCTTTTCCTTGCCGAAAAGCATCATCAACACGATTGGTATCTTAAAATACAGCTGGAAGATCTTAAAGATTATAGCAAAGCACTGGATTATATTGGAAAATTAGATTTTTCTTTGGCCGAAGATAATATGAAAAAATATGGCAAAATTCTCATCAATAATGCACTTAAAGAAACTACTGATTTATTGAAGAGATTGTGCACTGATTTTAAATCAAATAATGAAACTATTCAAAGAGCCCAGCCAGAAGAATTTATACATATTTTTGTTAATAATACTGAAAAATTGTTAGAATTTTTACAACATATGGTTAGAGAGAGACCATCATCTTCGGCATTGGTGTATAACACTTTATTAGAATTACAATTACAAAGTTGGAAAGCTGCTACCGTTCCTGCTGTCAAAGAGCAATTGGAAAAAGATATTACTACCTCATTAACTAATTCTGAAGCAAAATATGATGTAGATCAAGCTATGGTACTTTGTCAGATGAATGATTTTAAATACGGAGTTCTGTGTTTATACGAAAAGGCAAAATTGTATCAACAGATACTTCAGTATCACATAAAACATAATGATTATAAAAATATTATTGAAACTTGTAAGAATTTTGGGCTTTCCGATCCAAATCTGTGGATTGAAGCACTGAGATATTTTTCGCAAAAAGATCAGAATGAATGTTCGAAAGAAAAAGAAAAGGTCTTGAAAGAGATTGAAGATATGAATCTTCTACCACCCATAATGGTAGTCGATATAATGGCAGAAAGCAAAACTGCAATGTTAGATTCTGTAGTCAAAGACTATCTAATTCGGCATCTAGAACATGAAAATAACAGAATTGCGAGTGACAAACGCCTGATAAAACAATACAGAGAGGAAACAGAAAAAATGAGAAATCAAATTGAAGAGCTGAAAACTAATGCAAAAATATTTCAGGTATCTAAATGTTCTGGCTGTACTCACCAATTGGAATTACCTTCGGTTCATTTTCTTTGTGGCCACTCTTACCATCAACAGTGCTTCGAGAGTTACAATGCAGAGAATGATTCAGAATGCCCACTGTGCATGCACGAAAACAGAAAAGTTTTAGATATAATTCATTCCCAAGAACAAAGCAAAGATCTTCACGAACAGTTTCACCATCAGCTAGAGAGGGCAGAAGACAGCTTTTCGGTAGTTGCCGACTATTTTGGCCGTGGGGTTTTCAACACCGTCACGTTGTTAACAGATATGTCGCCCTACAATAAACCCTCTATTCCAAAGCACATAGCAATGTAATCGACATCTAGTCAATTTTCAGAAGTATGAAATGTTTTCGTAAGTAATTTAGTCGGCGACGAATATCAAACAATATATTAAATTTTAATGCCAACTTTGAGTATATTAAAACTTGTATTTAAAGATATAAAATAATTTAATACAATTTTAAACAAGTTATGTATGATTTACAATTTTGCTGTGATCATTATTTTATATACATAAGCATTGAATTATAAAATATTTGTTTATTTGTATATGTTTGAAATTTATGAAGTAAAACTTTGATTCCAACAGAAATGATTCTTTGAAAATTGAAAAAAATTATTAAAATTCTAAAATTTTGAAACGTTACTGAATTGCAATTTCAATTTTTTAAATTCACTATTATTCTGTCGTTTAATTTAATTTAAAAATGACTTGCAGACTTCCGCTCTTATTGCCAGTTTGTTGTGTGTAGACAATATAAATCTAATGAGAAGAGTAAACAATGAACTACTAGCCAATTTTAATACAATAATTCACATTAAAAGTGTTGTAGAATCTGTTCATTGTAATCACTTTAAAACTTATAGAAAATGCTTTTTTCTGAAAGCCAAAATTTTTGTTAAAACTAATATTTTAAAACTGATATACTTTAGGTCATTGGCTATTATGCAATAAGTTTGAGAATGGAATGCTAGTTAACAAGATTTATGTGACAAAAATGTAAGAGCTATTTATAGACAAGGACAGTAATGAAATTAAACTTTGAATTTGAAAAGTGTATAAACAGCAGAAAGTATTTGAATTTGGAAACAAAGTTTCTACTAGAGTGCAAAGTGTCTAGAATCAAATATCAAACAGGTGGATTCCTTTATCAGGCTGTTAAGGCATGGCAGGAGGTAAGCTGTTAGTTCTTCATCTCCAATTAAACTTGATAATTATAAGTTAGAATAGTCTGGAAGAAAACATTGAGCCAACATGAGACTCGAACCTGCAACTCCTGCTTACCATGCACTGTGTTGCTAATTATATTAAGGACTTCCGTCTGATCTCTTCCAGATCAAGTAAATGATTAACTAATTTAAATATAATCATATTTCATTTGTGTGTAGAAATGTAGACCAAATCTCTAACTTCATAGTATCTTTAGAGTTAAAAACATGGACATAATTAGATAAAATGTGTATGTATTTTCTAGTAGCCTAATAAAGCAGCCATTTTTTTAATTTGATGATAATGGGATGCTATGCACAGAAATGGACTTGCTTATAACTGTGATAGCATTAAGTGGCAAAAATAACTATAGTGGAAATTCTAGTTTATTGACTTTGACATTATAAACTTGATGATAAATTATTTTGGGACATGCTGTAATAGCATTACATGACATGATAATATCTATGATTACAACAAGCAGATTCTATTATTATACCAAAGTGGTTTTAGTGCCACATTATGTTCAATCAGTTTAAGATAAAATGATGTTAGTTTTGGTATTATCTAATCCAGGGGTCGGCAACCTTTTGAGTTGGAAGAGCCAAAAATTACAATTTACAAAATTTCAAAGTTTTTAAAGAGCCACAAATTTTTTTCTTGCCAACAATAAATAGTACTTGCATAAATAAAGTTTTTTGATAAAAAAACTAATCTATTTATTCATAAGAAAAATTGTCTTGCGTCGAAAGCGAATTAAAACTCATAGAAACATCCGA